TAAAGGTCAGCTGAAATGACAACAAACGACACATAGATGGGTTGAAATTGAAATGACAGGATTTGAAATTCAAACTATAGGAACATAGGAGCCCCACCCCCTCCCTTTAGGAGCGCCTCCAAAAGGAGCAATTTTGACTTGGAAGGTTAAGTTGGGTGCACTGTGTCAGAACAAAATCATCATCTTTATGTCAAATTGAGCAGGCCAATGCTGAGAAACTGCTCTAAATGTTAATATCATTCTTACAAAATTATTTTTGAAAATTTTATATTTATTACCTTCTGTATCATCAAGGTTGTTAATTTCAATTTTCCTCAAAAAGTATTTTTCTTTGAGTCTGTACTCTGGGGAAGGTCCTGTTAATGAATGCCGAGTATTCTGCAAGCCATGAAAAAAAAAAGACAAAAGAAACAGTCAATAACATAGCAAGGTAAAACAAAGTGAAGATGGGTGGTTATGAAACTTTTACTCTTTAGTTTAATAACATTAATTAAAGCAATATCTAGTGTTCTACAATACAACTGCCTTACTAGCTTCAGACACACACTTCTTTATCATGTGAAAGAAAAGCCAAAAAAGGCTAAACTACTCTTGCAGTGAAACAAAAGCTAAAAATGGCTGCACAGTACCTGCTTACAACAAATCAAGAGCCCATCAAGGAGAAAAACATATCTCTCCGTGTCTTTCTTATTAGGATGGATCTTGCCAAGAGTTCCCTCTACATTGAGAAAAGACAAAAGTACATCATACACTGATTTACACTTCAAGTCCCAAGAGTTAAACAACATTTATTTTCTCCTTACAATACCAATATATAATCAAGAGATTATATAACGAGAATTAATAAAATGATCACCTCAGGGAAAATGCTTTTGTCTTTAAACAAGTTCTCTTATCAAATTCTTTAATATAATGAAATGTATTGGGATCAGTCGGCTTAAAGGGTTGATACTAACAACGTTAATAAATAATATAATATTAGTATGAGAAACAATTTCTCATATTAATATTATTATTGTTTCATATCTCAGCAAAAACTGAGGTGCTCTTTAAGTCAGATTTTACAATCCTGCACCATTTAAATTTAAAATAGATTTTATTTCTTAGAGATGAAAAAAAAAAAACAGTTGTGAAGGGGCTCACCACCAAAATAAATTTTCTGCAAAGTATGATGTTGAAGTTCACACAATGTTTAGGACAAATTTATCAGAAGATTACAAAGTTACATCAAGTAAACCCAGACCTACATGTACTGACTCATTAGACCTGACTAATGCCTTTGGTATAGGAACCAACTGGACTGTAGCATGTTAGGACACTGCAGCTTCCAAAAGGGCTTGTCAGTTAACTAAAAAATGCCAGCTTATTGTTATTATTATTATTATTATTATTATGGCTATCACTACTATTATCATTATCATAGTTATCGTTATTGTCATTGTTATTATTATTATTATTATTATTATTATTATTATCTGATAAAACAAAGGGTTTTCCCTGGGAAACAAAGTCCAATGAAGATCTCAGACTCCCATCACCTTTCTAAGGATAATTACATGCACGAACCAATCCAAGGAGTGCACACTTTTGCATTGTTCTTTTCTTGCCTGGAATTATTATCATTGGAATTACTACATTTGTATTATTATTATTATTAAATATTGTTATTATTATTATTATTATCATTTTAGTTTTTTCTTTCTTATTCCTTTTTTTGGCTGGAGTTTTTACTCCACTGGCTTAAATTTGAGACAAAAGGAATGCAAAAATAAAAGCAAAAACAATTTTCAACTATAGCTACTTAACTGAATTGACAATTTTTCATTGACAATTCAGTGTCAGTCCTTTGCAGCAGAGAGTTTGCTCAGAGAAATGTAAAAAATTTGGGTATTTCTAATAAATTTGGACCAAAAAAGTAGTTAAATATTAATTTAAGAACTGAACAAGTGAAATTTGGGCATCAACTTTACCTTTCATCACCTCTGTACATGATTGTGAAATATCTCTTCCCTAAAAAGCAACCAAATATAGACATTATAAAAAAAGCAATTTTAACCTTCAACCAAGAAACCCAAGGACAACAAAATTAATTTATAGATATTATCTTAAGCTCTTTATCTTTAACACCTCAACCAGGAACTGACAAACACACATTGTTCGATGGCCTGAGGCCCTTAGATTGTTCTGTTGTGCTCGTACAATACAACGTTATTAGAATTTACATCCAAAAGAGAAAATTAAATCATTACAGATTACAGAAGTTTTTTCAAGCTTTGAGGAGATCCAAACTATAGAAAACTGAAGGGTCAAAATTTTTCATCATTTGTCACACCCTACATATTAAGTGGAATGAACGGCAGGCTGAAGCAGTCACTAATAATTTATTAAAGACAGAAAAGTCACAATCTGTTGATAGGAGGTATACATTTTGTAATTATTTCAATTTTTATATTCAGGTTAAGAATATAATAGAGCTGATGAATGCCAAAAAAATGTTTGGCAGTTCAAACAAAAGAAACTGTCTTTCTTAACTTAAATAATAATATTCTTTTTTTTAAAAATTAATTCTACAGTGTAGCTAGTTTTTAGCAGTCACTAGTCCTCTGAGTTTCTTAGCTTACTGACCAAATCGTAGGTACAGTGGGTGGCTGACTATTCCGCAGTTTAACATAAGATTTACATACAGATTAGTAAAAAACTATAAGTTACGTACTATACAATGCAGTGTGTCCATCTCATCACCTACCTCCCAACCATCGATGTTCCTCTGCAGTTCATTCATCTGAACTGCTGCTGAACGGAATGCCCCAGACTTCCTCTTCTGAGCTCTGCCAAACTTGAAGTCTCTAAAATGCAGAGAATATGAAATATATATGTAGAAAGCTTAACTAAAATTCTTAAAACAGCTATGGAATATTTTGAGTTACACTGTAAGTTTGTATACAAAGCAAGTGTTGGGCTAGTGTAAAAACACAGTTATGAAGGAAGCAAGGAGGAGAGGCCAGAGAAAAGGACAAACACTCAGGGAGGAAATTAAAGTTGATGATGGTTACGACGAGTGCTTCAATGCCCAGGAGGACTGTAACACACTGGAATTTTCTCATACTTACTCTCTTTTCTTGGCAAGACTTCCAGATGACTGAACTATTCTTTCCATTTGTGCCTGGAGGGGTTTCAAAGCACTCTGGGCCTGTCAATAAATAATGTAATGCAAGATTTTGGGTTTGGTTAAACAGCTATCACTGATAAATTCTATAGACAAAAATATATTCTGGTACCTGATTTAAACTGTCAATATCAGCTTCATCAGGAGATGTTCTTAACAACAACTGAAAAATAAAATAGAAATAATTGCATTTCTTTGATATCACTTTAATACAGGTATCTCCCTCACATAAGATGTTCTAGTTCAAAAATAATATTGTAATAATATTGCAGTAATATATTTTTTCTTTTTATAGCTTATGTTATGTGTACTCTAGTAATACAAGAATGCACAATAAAAATTAATAAATAACAAAATAATTAATGCTTCCACTTTACTAAATTCAAAAAATTAGACAATAAAAACAAAGGAATTCTAGATCTGGCAATTTATTGAAAAATGTTGCCCTCATGAAAATTGTCTATTTGCAAGTCATAACCACAAAAATTGATTCAACCCATTAACAATAATATTCTGTTCCTGGAAAAAAAAAAGAGGCAGCAACAAGGTAATAACTGAAGCAAAAGCTAGAAGGAACACTCCAGGAAAAAGCTATTTATATGGGTATGGTTTAATTAAACTGATTTTTGTCCATTAGCATAGCTCCTATATATCACAATAATTTTTTTTCCGGTTACAAACAAGCCCGCAACTTTAGACTCATTTAAGCTGCATCAAATTCTTTACCTTGATGAGATCAAAGTAGTGTAGACATTGATAAATAGGCATCATAAGCAGCTTGGGAAGGCAGTACTGGACAGCTTCCTTAAAACCAGGACCTTTTGACTTTAAAAAAATAAAAAATCAATCATTCAAAGTTATGGCAATGATTTTGCCAATGATACCCACCATAAAAAAAATTGGCAAGAAAACAAAAACAGCAATAATTGGCTGTTGAAAATGATCTTAACTGTTAAATCTGATGATGACATACTAATATGAAAAAAGCCCCAGTCAGTCAAATAATAACAATTATAATAATAAGCTTTATTTTGATAATTATTACAATTATAATTATTGTTTTTATTATTATTATTATTATTATTATTATTCTTTTTAGTGCATATTTTCCACTTTATAAGAATAATTTTTCATGGTGCAGTTTACTATAATGTACAGTGCAAACTGGTTCCAACTTTTAAATGCTTTGAATGGATGAAAATCTTCACTATTCCAATGAAAGCTGCTCAGGAATAATTCCTCAAGATTGTGTTATGTTTTGTAGACTGTTCACAGTCCCCTATTTTCCCGTAAGATCGTCGAGATCGAGCGCTTTGCATTAAAAGCTGCCATCTTGCGTGAGTGTCAAAACTACTTAGGGGGTGGGGGTGGTTTGGGAGGAAGCAAGAAAAACAGAGGGACTGTCATAACATCACTGCAGCTCACGTTCAGGTGGTGTGACAGGCATTTCACGCCTTTTACCATTCATTTAACAAACTCTCCTGGCAATGAAAAACATGCCAAACAAATTTAGCAGAATTTTGCATGTTTACAAATATCTCCTTTTGAAACAGTGATTTTATACAGTTTCTAGGACAAACATGTAAAGGTGAAACATTTTCCTAATTGAAGCGTTAAGCATGCTCACTTCACCACAGATTAAAATGGTTAAACTTCTCCATATAGCCAGGCATTTCTGACAGGTCGTCTTTTTGCGTTGGCGTAGCATTAAATTTCAATAGGTTTGAGAGAAACGGTGTTGCAACATTCCCTTGGCCGCGCTGCTTCAAAAGCATGTTAGCTTACGTGATTCAGGCACAAATACCAAAAATCCTTCGTGCCTATGAACAAGATGTGCCTTATGGTACGTTTTATAAAAACGATGACTTATCAGTGTCGGCAACTTAAACTAAGCCCATTGTCAACGCAAATTATTATCTATTATCTAATGACTAATCAAACGCCTACGTTTCTGATACAACACGCTCCTTGAACGAGAGCTGCAGTGATGTTAAATTTACAGTATCTCAATTTTTCTCACCCCCCCCGCTCCCTAGAGCTATAATCCCTGACGCCTGCCCCCTTGGTACATTTCACAATCAACATGGCTGCCATTAACAGTAAGAAGCGCCATATCTTGACGATCTCACGGAAAAATAGGGGACTGTGAACAGTAGATATATGTTTTGATAAAGAAAAGTCAAAGATAACATCTGGTTATTAGTTTCCAATAGTGAAGGGCAGCCATTCAAAAGGAATCTTAATTAGGCTCTTCTTGTTTCATGTTATAGCTGCTTGTTATTTTATAGGGGTAAATAAAACAGTTAAATTTCTAGGACCTGTACTAATCAATTTAATTCAGGCCCCAGTACGCATTGTTCACAAGGTGGATGAAGGTGGATTTATTCACTAGCTCAATCTCCATCCGTTTGGGTGGCATAATGGTTTGCCTAATGATTATCCATTGGATAGGTAATCCAGTGGATGGTGCTGTGCTATCCAGGCTTTGAACAACTGGGGTTAAACAACTGTTAGAGACCAGATACTGTAACGGTAAAGTTCTGTTCTCTATTACAATTATTTATTTTATCAAATTAATGAATTAAAAATGGAGCATACATACTTTGAAATATTCATTGACAGGAGGTCTTAGTAGCAATTCTGAGAGTTTCCCACCAATCCCAAGATGTCTATACTGCTTGCTGGCCGATGCTGTCTGCTCACGAGCATATGTTTCATAAACTTCAAATTCAGCTCCCTGGTATTAGGCAAACACAATCATAATGAATTAAGCATGCAACCTGCTCGGAGTAGATGCTATAGTACCAAGAGATTGGTTAGCCAGATGAAGTGATTATTTTAGATGAACGCCTGCTATGAAAAATTTTGCTTTAATTTACCTGTACATGTATCTCAGTCTTGTCTGATTTTTTATGAGAGCTACACAACTAGTCTCCAGTAAAAATGGGAATCGGATGAATTTCATAAACACAATCGATCATCAGAAGTAATACAAGCTTTAAGTGCTTTTGAACTGTGGACCACTGGACTCAAATTTTATCTCTGTCTAAATTTATTACACTGATCAAACAATTCTCTTTCTCTTTGCCAGTGTCAGCACTGGAATGGCTTTTTTATCAAAGGCAAGTAACTAGGCTCTAGGCTTTTATGGAGCAAACTGTGCAAAAACGTGCATGATTCAGGTGTTTACACAAGTCAGTGTAAAAGTGGAACTATACCGGTACAAAAATGTGGATCATTATACATTTCTAGGAAACTGCCCACCTACCCCTCCCTAAGCCAACATTTTGCCCTAAGTGAGAACTAAGTGTTAATGTTGGCTTAGGGGAGGGGTAGGTGGGCAGTTTCATAGAAATGTATAATGATCCAAAAATTTGGACCTTCTTCTGATCAGGTCAAAAGCATGCACACTTTGCCATTCCAAAACTAGCATGGTTCTACGGGTTGGGCCCGTATAAACACAAGGTGGATTTGGCTAGTTTTTGACCATTCACTACTTTGCCCAGACCTATGCAAAAATGGGGTCATACACACAGGTTACCTCTGCCATTTCTTCAAAACATTCCCCAATTGCTGGTTGCTTCCCTTCATCTGCTACTTCAATTGCTGCATCCAACAATCCCAGAAATGTCACGGAGAATTCATAGATGTCAGTGATATTACTGAAAATTTGGTCAATATCCTGTAAAATATATAATCAGGAAGAAAACATAGTTACTCCTCAGTTGTGAGTACCTTTGAAGGAGTTACCGGCAACCAAAAACAAGAAGAATGATAACAATATAGAGTGGAGGTACATACGTTGCGTGTGAAAAGATCCTTTGCTTCTACAAAAGGTGCTCTGAAAACCTGTAAAATCAATAAAATATCCACATCTTGTAACTGTCCTAGAGCCCCACATGCATGGAGGGTATGCAAGGGGAGCCCCGTAGATAAGGAAATTTGGTCTTTCCATCCAAGAAATTTTGGTAGTCTTGTGACCGTACATCCCCCCGTCCATCCATACCACAGGGCAACCAATGTGAAATGTCACACTTTCTAGCTAGTGTGGGAGCCTGCAATGTCCTGATAATGCACACCCATGTTGTTGTCAATTGACAGCTGTCAAAACAAGGTATCCACTGACCAGTATCTCATGATTATACCATGGGCTCAGGTGTTGACCCATTGAGGTTTAATGAATTATGTTTTTTTGAGTTTTCTGCTGGCACTTAATTAGGCTTCAAAATTACATGTACTGATGGGAGACTTAACTCCAAGTGGATTTCTTTGCAATGGTTACAAGTTTATTGATTGAAGCAAATTATAAATTTCTTAACAGGAGCTTCGCCTTTGGCCTTGGCTAAATCTTTACATTAAATTATGTTAAATGGTAAAAGTGACACACATTTGCTAATACCTTGATGATCATGTTCAAATCCCTAATGTACTGGCTCTCAGCAAGCATCACTTCACGCACAACTTCCTCATAAGTAAGTGCAGTTTCACGGCTTAGTGTCTAAACAAGGAAGATATTTAAAAGAGTTTTTAATCATGAAAAGGCTAGCAGATATGGCTTTCTTGTAATACTGGAAAACGAAGAAAACTATCAGCAAAAATAATATTGGCATTTACAATCATTACATCTTCGGAAAAAAAGCAAGGATTCATAAGAAAATGTTATACTAGACATTGCAGCTTGGGAAAAAGTTGCAGTTCTATTACTAGTTTCTGCAATGGTTCCTTTTGTGCATTTTTAGCAAAATTGATTGCATGCCACTTAATGCATTGCATTCAAGATCGAGAATATGAACTTTACCGGAAAAATATCCACTCCTGGATGCTGACCCCCAGTCCCACCTGATCTGTACTCTGCCCAGGAGGGCCCCCTACTGGTTCTGCCTTAGTTCCTAGGGACTAGGGGATATGGGCCTCACCCCCAGAGACTGATCAGGATATCCCCAGTACATGTACCACTCGATTTTGTCTCTCCCCAGGAGGGCTTCTCTCCTGGTCCCCTTAATTACCCCTAGATTTAAGTGCTTGCCTACAAACTAAATTTTGTCCATTACTTTCCTGCGGTGTTTTCTGTTTGGCATAGAACTGTTATGTGAAATCATCCACCAAACACAAGAGTTTATTAATGAAAAAGAATAAGGTAAATTGAATAGGCATGCATAGTGTTGGGCATAAATATGTTGCAATGTTGTAATGCAAAGCAATGTGGACAAAAAACTGTTGACTGAATCACTTCATTTTTTTAATTAAAAGCTTTGATCAGCATGCAATTTTTCCTTACATTATTACTGCTTTTTCAAAGAGAAATGTCAAGAGAATAGAAAAAATGATCACCACTGGTACAATGTCTTGACTTGAGACAAATTTGCCTCACTGACCATGCCATAACAAATGTATGGATCACGGTCATTGTGAAAAATGATTATGCATCTTGCCTTTAGGGTTTATAAGGGCGGTGCACAAATGTATTATTAATGCCAACCTCTGCCTCCACAGATGTTTCCACATCATCAGGATGAAACATATCCATTAATACCTAAAAAAGTAAACAATGTGAACAAATGTTACACAATGTTTGCACAGCTGTGCTCTTGAAGAGCCTAGTGGCCCCTGCAAGGTTTTAGCCAGAAGGGTGTCCAGCCATCCTACATGTATGGGCAAACATGCCTTCTGGATGGCCAGTTTTCAATGTCTGGCTAAAAGCCCTGGTCCCCAACAACTAATTTTTGACTTTAAAGAAGGACAGGATCAGCGTGCTAAGAAAGTAGTGTCTGATAGCCTGGGGCTAGTGGATTTTGCTATCGGGCTAGTGAATTCTGTTTTTAACTTGCCTGACTGGCAAGTGATGTTTTATGAGGAATTTGAATAACAGAAGAACAAAACGTTTTTGGGGCTAGTTGAAATGACGTCTGTGCTAGTAAATGCTAGCTTCAGCCTGCCCGAATGGCAAGCTGTAAAAATCATTTTCTTCGCACCCTGAGAATGATCTTAGTTTTTGCATCAAATTTTTATCGTTAACACCTTTAATTCTATATGGTCAGAGCTATTAGGTCCCTAATTAGAAATGTGCTTACAGCACAACCTTAGTTTATTGTCATTAATATATTTCTTCAAAATCTAAAATAACATTGAATATTGACACACGTGTAATAATAATAATAATAATAATAAGATATCAACATATCTCATTACAGAACTTAAAAATAATATTGTCTCATGTAGCATTTGCTGAAAAAAATAAAGAAAATGTGTTGTTTTTATCACAAGGTATCAATTGCATTTTTAAAAGGCCTTTTTAAAACATTTTATTGTAAATAAGGTGATGAGTATCACTTGCTTTTCCACAATATAATGTAAAAACTTGTGTATACAAGTACAACAAGAAATTGCTCAGAATTTAGGCGCAAAATCAAGGGTGCAGCTTCTCTAGGAAAAAATCTCTTCTGGAAAATGTAAAAATTTAAGTTACCGTAAAAGGCACAATGGACACCAATGATCATTAGCTTCAGGGAGATAAATAACAATTATTCACCGAAGTGGAGGTTGCTAGTATTGGATATTTACTGAGGTCGCGAAGCGGAGAGGTAAATATCCACTACTAGCCACCGACACTGAGGTGAATAGTTGTTTTAGTATATACTAAAACAGTGAGATAATTGAGCACAAAATGATGATTTTTAACTCATTTACTGTTGCCAATGATTACAATTTTGGCGCGCAATGAACGAATGGCCGCGGTCGTCACTTTTTCTAAGCGCCAAATAAAACTTTTGAAGGCGTTTGCTTAGCTCTTGCAGGGAATTTTCTTCAAAAGGAGTTGTGAATTCTGTTTGTATTTAAAATAATTCTGTAAAAAAGATTATTAAATTTAGTTCTAAGCTTATTTATGAACAACTCAACTATATAAAGTAGCGCAAGACTTAAGCTTAATTTGCATTTGTAAACAAAAAACTTTTTCACCGGTTTTATCGATAACTATTCAAGTCAAAAAGATAAAGCTTTACCTGTTAAAACTTCCAAACCGAACTTTGTCACCTTCTTCACGTATTTTGGCTTGCTTGATTAGTTGTGAAATTTCTTAGTTTGTTACAGCAGCAAACTGGGAAAGCATTTTGCACGCAACCTACGCAAGTTTGGCGTCGCTCGCTCGGAGGAACTGGAGGTGAATCAGTGAATAGTGCAGGATATTCACTGATTGAGTAGCCAATCAGAGCCCCAAAAAACACTATCCACTGTATATACTAAAAGTAAATATTATCCATTCAGATGGTTTGAATAATTATAATGTTCATAAATGCATGAATATATAGCATATGCAGCTTTTGAAGAGTTATGATGTCCAATTCCTTCTGTAATGTAGATTGCAATACCTAAATCCTCAATAGATACCTTGATAACTTCAGAAAAATGGCTTAAAAGTGCAGCTAAATGGACAAAAACGCAAACACACTAATAGGGCGTTATTGGTTTCAGAAATGGACATGGTGAAACTTGATCCTTGTGAACTTTAATTCGTTGTTGTTCCCTAGCATGCGACCGAAATTTTCTTACAAATTTCATTACACGAAGTAATCTTGCTGATGTTTTTGGGTAAAGAATTGAGATTGATTTAAATTTAAGTCTATTTTACAAACAACATCACAGATTAGGTCTTCCTCAAACTCCAATTATAGGGATCAGAATAGAGGATGTGCTTCTTGAAAATAATGTGTTTCTTTGATTTGTTTCCATTTGGTCATCAGTGAATGACAACTGCAATGTTCTGAATGACAATAACATTTATCCCATGACTGAGAACACAAGTCAAGATGTCCATTCAAATATCCTAACATGATGTTCAAACACTTTTGCAATTCTTTCAAATAACAATTTATATGAATCAACTATTCAAAGAGTGAACCAAACCTTCAAAACAGTTTAATAATCAAACTGTTCAAATGGTGAGTCAATTCGTTTGAACAGTCAGCCAAACATTTACTCAATCACACAAACCATTTGAACACTTCAGCTTATCATTATAATTATTATTTTTTTCAAATCACAGTAGAAAGTTAGGGGTAAGGCATAAAGAAACGTTTTTATGGTAAATGAATTATTTTATAAATATAAAAGAGATCACTGCACTAGAATCAAGAAGGAACTATACATAAACAAACATAAACATAAAAAATAAATGGTACGAGACCTTGTCAGCGAATAAAGCCACCTTTATGTCCTGGCATGTGATTTCACCATGTCTGATGTTCTTCACATAATTGCCAGCCAGCTGTTAGGAATGAAAACAGGAAGCATGAGTGTGAGAATCTAATCGGACTCAAAGATCTCTCAGAGAGCAGACACTCTTTAAAACTGACAGCTTCTCTGTTAACAACCTTGTAAAAAACTTGTCTAACCCCCAAGCGACTTCCGATAAACTGCTTGATTCTCCTTATAAATTACTATATATTTTCTTTTCAAACAGTCGGAAAATTTGACATTAGATCAAGAGCCACTTACATTGTAGAGGCTTATTTCATGCACCCCATCATTATTATTTATGGCGTTTACAGTTTTCATAGAAACTGAAACGCTATGCAGACATCTTGTATATTAGTCCATAATGTCCATAATAAAAGCAATAATTCCATCAACCAGATACAAAATACTGTTTGATTCAGTTTGCAAACAAGAGAGTCTATTACACTCTAGTCATTTCCTCAATTTAATTTTTTTTTCTAGTCAAAAGAAAGTTTGCAAAAAAGGGGCATCATTGGCATGTTAAATAGCATGAAATTAAAGTGTGACCTGTTGCATCGAAAAAATTGTTTTTCTTGATGCAAGAAGTCACACTTCATTTTCTCTTTGACATTAGTCATTGGAGCACTATATGACATGAAGGTGGAGTGTAACTTAATGTGCCAGATACATAAGTGCCACGTCAAGAATCAAAAATTTTTCCCCCTATGTAAGAAATCACACTTTATTTTCTTCAACAAAGCAGGTTATGTTTCATGCATATATGACATAGCAAGCCGATAAAATCACAAGTGATAACAGACACACCAAAAACTGTAAACACCTGAATCCCATGGGCAGTCAGTTCCCACTATACATAGTTGTGTTTTCTATGAATGTTTGAATGTACATGTAAAAGTCTTTGATAAAGTGACTCTTTTCTACAACAACAAACCAAACATTTATCAGACAGTAGTTGTAAAATGTTGTGCTGAATGAACACAACTTACTTTACTTCCACCAATTAGATGATCTTGACAACTTCTACTTTTTCACATGTTATAGCTAGAGGGTCTGGTTTTGACCAGTCAACACACTTCCCTTCTTTGTCTAAGATATTATAAACTGTCGCACTACAAGTCTCAGTCGGCGGATTGGGCCAATTATGTGCAGATGGCCTATTAGAAACTCTAACCCATTATCAAGGCTGTGCTCTAACGAAAATTAAAGGGAGCCCAGAGCTCTGAACCTGTGAAATCAAGGGTGCCCGGCATATGATTTGCACGAAAAAAGTAAGATTTTCTAGTACTGGGCTCTGCTAGAGCACAGCCCTGATTAGAATAGTCTATTCTGTGGCCAGTTATAGTCCCAATCTTAAGGCAAAGAAGAAAATCAGTACCCCAGCTAGTAACTCTATAGAAAAATGCAATCTTGTTAAAGTTAATCCAGTCATAAGAATGCAGTCTTATTTAAGGCCACATCTCCACTGGCCTTTTACAACAAAGTACCCTCCACCCCCCACCCGCACCCCAATCCCCATCCCTGCCCAGAATCTGACAATAGATCCAGCAATACCTACTATAAAAGCTGGGGCCCAGTTTTCAAAAGTCCCGATAACTGATGGGCCCAGAACGTTTTTGTATGGGTTGTCAACATTCACGACTCATAGAAATTTCAGTACTGTAGTTTTGCTGATAATGTGACAAAACTATCACAGTTAACAAAACAAAATGGACTGGTTGGTTAGCTAAGCTTTGGCCCACACTCTAATTCTTTAAATGTTTATTTGAATAATTATTGTTTTGATCTGGGCCCAAAACGATACCAGGACTTTTGAGAAATGGGTGCCAGGTGAGCCTAGACCACAGTGCGGTCAAAACAGAACCTGTTTCACACAAAATTTCTTGTTACAAAAAAGTGCAGAAGGTGTCAAATGTTTTCTGCACCTGTAACCTCCTCTCCCCTTACTCATATCTCATGACTAATATCTCATTACTAATTAGATAAGAGGGGTTTCATGACAGATAGATTAGAGTTGAACATTCAAAGGCTTCTTAAAAGCTTCTGTAGTTTATAAATCTGGCAATTGGATGAATCAGGCGAGCTTACCTTTAAGATATCAGCTGAAATATACTCCATTACTGCAACAATGTAAAGAGACACTTGAAACTCAACCCTGAATCCAAGAATATCCTGAAAAACAAATCATTGTGTTTCTTTACTATCTGCACACTGCACCAGCTGATACTACTGCGTGGGGGGAGGGAAGGGGTTAAGTTTAGTTTAAAGAGAAAATGGACAATATTTTGTCCTGTTTAAACATCCAAACTCATTTGAAATTTTAGACAAACCCCAAAAGAATGATAAAATTTGATTTTATTTGTACAAAGTCTTCCCCAGGGCAACAAAAAGTACAGCTGTAGTTAAAAATAATTCATTAGTCTATTTTTATCAATGCATCGTATATTTAATCAAGTGCTAGATAAAAGCATGAAACATAGTGTTATACAGGAAAGGTAGTAAGAAATTTTGATGGTGATACAAACTGGGTGGATATTTTTCTATAAACATATACAGTACAGTCTTAAGTAAAACACAAGAATTTGTAACATATTAAAATAGTGAACTGAAATGGCAATACGTATATAGCTCAATTAAAAACAATCTAAAAAGGAGAAAAACGGAAAACCGCATATAATTTCCTCGATTGTAATATCTAGTGAGCATTTTATGGGAAAATTGACCGGTGTTCTTTAATGGTAAATTTAATTGTTTTACAACCGCAAGCCGGGTAACAGCAGATGAAATAGACAATAAAAAGTACTTCAAACAGGTATACAAACTTAAGTGTACAGAAACAGAGAAAAACTTATTTTGTTGTGTACTTTGTAGGGTGTAAAATAATCACAGGATAAGTAGCCTTTGAGCGGGGTAAATTTGCGAAGTCATTAGACTTGTGATAGGTGACAGCTGCTTAGGATGAAAACAAAACCACTGTAAGCCTCGGAATCGAAGTGATAAATCACCTTTACAATCAAAGGGTGCACTTTATCCGCAGGTAGCACAACTGGGCTTTTCTTCCTTCCTTTCTCGATGGCGGCTTGTGCATCTCCAATGGCCCATTTATCGATCGGATGGGGGAATGTATTGATCACTCGTTCCTCGACATCAGCAACTGACCGAGGCTGGCCCGCACAGAGGTGATTCAGAAGTTGTATGATCAAAGATTCGATGTATTCTAGGGCGTCATCGTGAACCTTCAACGAGGGGTGAACCTGCGATTGGACCTAAACCGAATTTGAAAGATGGGATTAAAACAAAAACTTTAAAACAGAAATCCCTTTCAGTGAATCACGCCTCCTCTTTAAGTTATAAATGGGATTGTGAGAATAATATATTCAGCAAAACTCTCCCATAAAAAACAATACCCGCTGATTATAAATCTTCTTTTCAAACCATGAAATAAACAATCAATAGGGTGAAAAGGGAAAATAATCAATCGGAATTTCACCGTTTCTTCTCAGAAACAGGAATGCGATGGCTCAAATTTTCCTTTTAGCTAGCTTGAGCTTACCTTTCTAAGAGCGGGTACAAACATTCCCTTCCATTTTGCGATGTTCAAATTGTTTTCATACTCAGATATGGGCATGTTATTCCAGAGAAGTCACATATCATTCCAAACCACTGGTAAAAGAATCAGAATTCACAGCCATTTTTTTGAGATCCAGAAACTTGTGACATCAATCCTACGAACGCGCGTTCGAGGTACTTCCTCTGCGGATAACCGGATTTGCATCTACATTATTTGCCTGTCAGGTTATGTATGCAAAGATGATGATGTCAGGCTACGACGCTTTAACGCTTATTACCTACTTCGGCAGTTTGTGGGTTGTTTTACAAACGAAAGGAAGCTTGATCGGAAATATTACATCAAAACATTGGATTTGATTGTGCAGGGCATGCATTTCTCTGGACAAGTGCGCGCATCTATATTTGTCTTCATACGCTGACACGCTACATTGCAGGCAATTCTAGTTTCTTGTTTCATCATAGACTTTCTCCACTTCAGCCAAAAAATCGTATAACTGAAGGATTCTCGGCTTAAATAATGTCTTCAGAGAAGTTTGAAGACCTCGAAGATGAACTGAAAACTCTACAAGAAGATATAAGTGGGAAAATAACCAACAAAATCCCAAGATTAACTGGAGGTAAGGGCGAGCAGCCGCTTGTTTTCGATCTCTCTGTCTGTTTCAAAAACCTTTATCTTAATAATTTTAAGTTTTTATTCAAGTGTTTATCACATAAATGCCTTTTTTGTATCTACCAGAGTTAAGGAAAAGTACAATACGGGAGGTGGAAAAAAAGATTGAAGATGCAAAACTAATTGTAAGTGTTGCCCTAAAACAGCCCAAAAAATGCGAACGGTAACCACCATATTTTATTAGAGCTTAAAGATTGTTTAAGCTAAATTCAGCTGTTGTATTATTTCCAGTTAGTTGTTAATATTGTTGATACCTTTTTTTAAATCATTTGCCTGTTTAAATTTATCATTTCTTTTGTGTTTACACTCCGACTTTGGATAAAGTTTATATCTGTCGTGTCACGTGAGCTCAGTAAAAGGTGATATCATAGTAAAATGATGGGGGAGGGGTCATCTGGGTATAGATTTTACCTTGTCATTTATATTTTACTGGAACGGGTAAGATTGATAAAGCAAGTTCAGTTTTTCCAACCCTGTCTTATTTTATGAAACAAAAAAGTGAAATCCTCACGTTTTGAGGGGACGTGGGGGTTTACTTTATTGCGGTATTGGGCTTTTTTTCAAACGGTATTTCAGTAATTTTGATTTTAATGGGCGGTATTGTGGTATCATGTAGCCCTACGGTATGCGGTTTTTTATCCTTCTGGCTAACAGTATTCGGTAAAAGAAGATCCTTCACAGTATTATGGTACCGTTCATTTGCGTCCTCCTGTCTAATGCAGGTCAATATTTGGAAAACTTTACTTCACTTAACAGTAAATGATTACACAATTTGTGACAGTTAATGTACAGTGGAATTGTCATTGGATCTAATGATCTGGCTTTTCGATCGTTGCACCGATAAATTGGAGGTCTTCTCACGTTTTCTAGCAATGGCTGAGGTTGATTTCTTGTGCATACATGCTTGAGTTAAACAAACACGCGGAATGGATACAACTTTAAGTAAGCGTGACCAATCATAAATGCAGTATCGGTATTTCGTCTATTCTCAACACAGTACAGTGAAACCTACAACTATATTAAGCAGACAGTGGCTGAAGTCCCCAAATTTATTTTCCTTATAATTTACTTTAAATGAAACCTTTATTAAGCAGACACCTCTATTAAGTGGACGCAGACACCTAAAAAGTACCTATTGTTACCAACTGTATTAAACGGACACTTGTAATCAAATTCCACCACCCAACATGCCAGAAACCGGAAATGCGAAAGATTGCCACCCACAAATTTTCATTTTTTACCTTAAAAACGTGACTTGACGAACTGTTTTGATTAGTTTCACAGTACAGTTATGTTTTCTATTTTGTTTTGTTTGTATAGAGCTTGTTTCACTCATCTGATTTCTTCAAATTTGAGTTGCAATCTGTGTTTATGGTACTTTGATCAACTGGTCCACTTAAATAAAGAAATTAATGCAAACGATAGTCTCTGGGAGTATTCTAAACCTTTCCACTGTTCATTTGAATGGCATTTGACACCTCATATGACATTATCTATTGAAACCTGTATTAGGCGGACACCCTGTATTAGGCGGACACTACAGCATTCCCGGAGGGTGTCGGCTTAATACAGGTTTCACTGTATTTTGGTATTTGCCAATTTTTCCTGCGATATTGGGTACCCCCCAATGTCCCCCTCCTTTTATACTGCATTCAGCACTGATTGCAGCAAAGTAAGCCTGTTTAGAAATTGCAGGCGTTGTATTGGCAATAAATAAAAATTATCAATAACAATTAAGTCTTTATTCTTCTTCAAATATCTTTGAACATCTTTTCAGTTTATTCCCATCGCAGAAATAATATTACATTATTCTGTGTTCAATAAATTAACGATTTTTAAGCATCTTTTTCTTTCCAGCAAAATTGCGGCAAAGGCTGTTTATACTCAGAGCCTTTGATTATTTATTTATATTATTATTGACTTTGTTAGATTGAGGAGATGGAAGAAGAAGCCAGCTTTGCTCCTGGTGCTTACAGGAATTCCTTGATGTCCAAAGTACGAAACCACAGAAGAAATCTTGATCAACTCAGAAGGGATCTGGTAAGGTTAAATTGTTTGAATAGTAATATTATTTCTGTTGTTCAGAACTGTCATTAAGAGGAGGGGGCTGGGGATTTTCCCCGGCTACCATCAACGTGGCCCCCGGCTACTTTCAAAGGAAAATGGAAGAAAAATAGAAAGAAAAAGAATCCCTAGCTGTTTGATTCCCCGCCTACTTTTTGTATTTGCCTGGCAACTAGAAATCTTAGTGACAACCCTGGTTGTTGATATGATAATGAAGAACATTTTGCAGATTTTGTATCCTTTTTGTTTTTTTAATTCAGGCAAAACCAAGTGGGCAAGTAAATGTGTCATTTGGAAGAGAAGAACTTTTTGATTCAGATCCTATGGTAAGCTAATATTATTAACCCCCACACAGTTAACATGAAATTTTCAAATATCAGATTGTGTTCCAAAAAGAAGTTTAAGAATGAAATTCCCATGCTAAATTTTATAGAGCTAAAGTGCTAAACTGATACAAACATTGCACTAGTTGTTATGTGGCTAAATGTAATTTAAGAATAGTTAAACATGAGACAGTGCTGGATAGCGGTCTCCCATCTTTTATTACCTATGTAGGGCAGTCTTTGGGAATTTGCAGGGCTCTAGTCATTTTACAGCACTTTCATTGAGGTCAATCATTTCACTCATATTGCCCTCAGTTGTCAGTCACTTCAGTTGGTTTTGCTCCCCCCCCTTCCCTCTGCAGCTGGATGTCCCTTGGTAAGTCTCTACAAAACTCTCCACTGAGATTTTCAGTGTAACAGTGCATGGTGGTTACCACTCACAGGGTTATCAAACAGTGCAAGGTCACATGGTTGAAAAATACATATATTAAATTGAGCATTGACGAGTCACACCCCTAAGTTGGACAATATTGCCATTAGAATATATGATTTGAAAAATCTCAGCAAAAATTTTTTTAAAATGTTATTGCTATCCTAAACTAACTAATAATTCATTTCAGAAACGCTTTTAAATTTGTACAAGAAACTAATTTACTTCTATGGCATTATTTCATTAGGCTCCTCAGAGAAACAAAGTGATGCGTGGAACTGAGACTTTAAACAGAGCCTCAGAAAGTATTGCAAGATCTACCAGAGTTGCTGTAGAGACTGGTAGGTTTATTAACACATAGATTCAGGGCTGTACTCTAGCTGGGATCTTGACTGTTTACAAGCAGTCATTACAGCTGCTAAAGGAGGATCAAGAAGCTACCATGAGCCTACCTCTCCCAACAGTTACTGTGGTACCCTGGACCAATACCAGACCTTGGCATTGTGGCATTGTGGCATTGCCCCACTTTTTTGGGAAGTGCCGCACCATTATATAATTAGCCCGAGGGGTTCCAAGGGCACCAAGAAGGAAAAAAAAAACATAATTATCACAAAACGTATGTAAGCATCCATACACATACATACATTTCCTTATAATATACAGCTGTAAGCCAAAATTTAATTGAAAACACTCATCATTATCTAATACTCTGACCTGTGAAAACATTGAGTTAACTGTATCTAAAAATTGTGACCTGCTTTTCTCCCTCATGACCCCCTTTTAGCTTTTCTATGGGTCCTGTGGACCCCAGTGTACAAAATCCTGGTAAGAACACTGGGCATTAAACTGTAGACCCTTTCTCACAACCCTAGCACATAATTATTATAAATTCTGTGGGGCCTTAAAGAACCAACGCACTTTTCATCAAAAGTATGAGATGTAGTATCCGGTGTGCTGGTGCATGGCTTGAAATAACGGACAGTCAACAACCAACGTCTGGACAGATTGAGGATTTGTCCGGTCAACCTTTCATCTTGCCGGTCATGTTGACCGGTCAGTTAGATCATATTAAAAATGAAATAAATTAAAATTTCCATGCTGTTCAGTTATTTCAGTTGTTATCAGTATAATATGGCAAGTCAGTGTATTGCAGAACTTTAAACTGAAATCCTGGGTGAAATGCAACTAGAAGTGTGTTTAGAATTTGCACATTGAAACAGACATCAGGGTTCATGCACCTGCAGAAAACTGAAATCATTATATTTAGAGGTGCCAGGCCAATTGAATTTGTAGGATAATGATATTTAATGTGTTACGGGTTAGCGTTACAGTCAGTGTTCCTATTAATACACATTATACTACTACATCAGAAATTCCTGCAATTTGATTGGTTTAGAGCAGTGGTATTTCAGCTTAATTTGAAATACCTACATGTGAAAATTACAAACCTTTTGTGGGTAGTAGTATAAACAAATAATAGCATGATTTGTACTTGATATTTGGCATAAATACCACTTGTGATATTTCAAAATTGTCTCAAATTTCACTCGCCTAACGGCTTGTGAAATTACGTATAAAAATTTCGAAATATCACTCGTGGTATTTATGCCAAATATCACTACAAATCATTCTATTACCTATGCTAAGCTTATAGTTTCATTTCTCCACTGTAATTTATTTTTATTGTTGACAATGAGTGGTTTAAAGTGAGATTCTAGCTCTAAGCAATGACTTTTTTGAAAATGTATAGCACTAGTTTTGATTCATGGGACCCTGTTTTTAGAGTTATTTATCTTATAAATTTGCCTGGCCAGAAAGGATGCGTGACCAAGCTAAAATGATTTTGGCCAGTCATTGTGTCCAGATACTCCCAGAAAAAAATCTTTCAAGCCCTGTGGTGTATCTCTGATTCACTCTCACATTTAGGGGGCATCACCATTGCTTTTAATAATTACTTGTAAAGTGAACCATAAGCAGTCTGGCAAAAGTCCCCCAACCAGTGTTTGTAAAGTATCACTGAAAAGCCCTGAGGGGAGTGAATAATACTTAATATATTTACTGAATTGACAATTATTTTTACAATTGTCAAAGGCTTTCCATTGTTAATACATTGTTTTTGCTGATCTACATGTACATATTTCTTGTAGAACAAATTGGTGGTGAAATAATTGAAGAGTTAGGTGATCAAAGAGAGGCACTAGAGAGAACAAGAGATAGGGTGAAGACAATCTCGAATTTATATTCATGGCTTTTACAACCATAAAATTATCACATACCTTATTGCTTAAAGTAAATATTATTGTTTATTTTTTCTGTAGCTCAAGGATGTTGATCAAGGCCTGGGTAAAAGCAAGAGAATTTTAAATAGTATGGCTATCAGGTAACATAAAACAAAAAACCTTTTCAATTGATATTATTTCTGCTAGTATCTATTAAAGAGTGGTACTCTAAGGGTGTTCACCAAAAGTCAGGACTGGCCAGTGGAACTGGTCATTTCAAAAATAAGGTCTTTTCTCATTTTCACTTAAAACCTGTCTCTGCAGTACATACTGTCAAGGAACAGGCTTTTTTGGTGGGACCATCTTAAAATATAATGGCTTAGTTGTTGTCATTGTTGCTAAGATCACCCCTTTAAGGAAAATTTGAAGGAGCTCATAATTTACAACAAAAGCTAGGAAGCTAGAAGCCCACTAGAAAGAACAGATGTAGTATTATTTCAAAGGGTTTCAATGACTGATGGAAGTGAAAAGTTGTCTTAGTGTCGAGAGGGTCATGATTCCTCAGGAAATTCTACTTGAAGTTTTATTCCTCTTAAATGTCATTTCCGCCATTCTGGCTCTGTAGAGTGTCAAGCCGCTTACCTAGGCCACTAGTTTATTTGCTTCATTCCGAGCAAGAGAGACTTATACTCACAGTCTACCTATTAATATTTTGATGATATTGCAATATTTGTATTAGAGATTTCTCAGCTAAGACAGTTCTACTGAAATCCCTTGGACACCTCTAGATCTACCACAGGCCAAGTATGTGACAGGCCAGAAAAATATATTGTCAACTCTCAGTCTTAGATGGACACTGTTGGGATCAGCAATAGGGCTCTGTTAACCCTTCAAGTCACAAGAATGACTAATGTCAATTTTTCTTGTTACATTTTCAATACATCAGAATTAATTAAATGATCAATCCCACAACTGATAGTTATTCTCTAAGAAGATGTATGGAAATCAGTCTGGAGAATTTGTATTACTCTGTGATATAAGGGCTTAAAGAAAGGGTTATCAGTGTATTGTTGGCTGCCCCCGTAGTGATGTCAAGGAAGATAACTGAATTACAAAAATAATGGCAGGGAACAACACTACATACATGTATCCATATTTCAGGGAGATGTTATCCTGGCAGGAATAGCTCAGTTGGTAGAGTAGGAGGTAGCGGGTTTGATTCCTAGGATGGAACCAGTTCTCAGGGTCTTACATTTGTAAAATAACTGGGAAATTGGAAAATGAAAGAACTGCCTTTGCCCTGCTAATGGATAGACCTTGGGGCTTCGTGTGGCTCTGAAATTACTGAAATTACCGTGCTATTACATTGGCACTCAAAAATAGGACTTTTTTTGTATGCCTCTCAAAGCAGTTTATTGGGTGTCCCAGGCCACTGGACTCCGGTTAGGCAAAATCCTTTCAACAAGTCGTACTTTTAATTTATTTTGTTGGTTACATGATGTGGTTGTATTTTATCCTTAGTTTAAATTTTATTTTCTTTTGTTTTTGGATATTATAATAATAATAAATTATAAATGTCTTTATTTCGCCCGTTAAAGATTATACATAACAAACGTTACAGAGAGTAAAAGTATACAAATCATGAAAATCGCACAGATCATTTACAATTATCATAATTTATAAAACCTGATTAAACATTGGGTATCTAGTATATTGTTAAATTGCCAAGTTGTATTGAAACCTTATTCTATTAAAATAGCAATTTTTAAAACGTTCTGTATTAATACGCGGTAATTGACTTGTTTGTGATCTTAACTTGTTAGATGACTCTTTGACTTTCGGCAAAAGGGCATATAATGGATGGTTAACATTGTTCTTAATTTTGGTGAACAACCTGCGGTCACACTTCTCTAAAAGGTCATAGATATTAATTAACTCAGAAGAGTGATGTCGCTTATTGCTTATGGTCATGTAAGATAATGATTTTGAAACAAAATAAAATAAAATAAATATTTAGACCAAGGATAAAATTGAACCACAACATAAACATGTAGGCATGTATGTTTGACCAAGACGGCTCAGCCATCTTGACTGAACAAGCTTGGTTGAAATGAAAGATTTATTGTATGGCCAGAACAAAGATTAATCTTTTCTTGTGGAAGTAAGCAGGAAATTGTTCAATCATTGTATGTTTACATGCATGTGACTTGATCCTAAACTATTTTGGTTTTCTTTTATTTCAGGATTGCAACAAACAAGTTGATATTGCTTTGCATTATCTTGGTAGAGTTGGCCATTTTGGCTGCTGTTGTATATATAAGGTTTTTTAAGAAATCAAAGTCAAAAAAGAATTAGTTAACTCAAAGTTCTTTTGATTATCTCGCAGTGTCATGTGCTACATCATTTACCACTCAATAAAGCTTCATTTAAGTTTTTGACCATATTTTTTTAGCAAACTTTCTGGTGGCCTTGCAAAGAATCTTCTATGTGGTCATGATGAAACACATGAACTGTTGAAGTTAAAATGTAATTTTGTAGCTTGAACTCAGCATAATTAGAAAAAAAAATCTCACGGGGGTTGAAAAATGAAAAAACTGAATTTCAGTTTGCCCTGCAGGCAAGAACCTTTAAGATTTTCTCACTTTATGATTTAGATTTAGATGATTTGCCTGGATCTTTGGTCATTGGGCAAAGGAGAATGTAAAGATGCTTGCCCAGCAGGAAAATCTACTTTACCCATATAACTGTGTAGAACTTTTTTCAAGCCCTGATTTCAGATAAGATAGTCTCACCGTGGTAGATCTTTTGATCGTCAGATAAATTTGTTTAGGCAATTTCTAATGGCCTATTACTATAGCTGATACAAAAAGCTCACTAAGAGGGAAATGTAGCTCAAATTTAGAAGATTTGTCTTGTTTTTTTGATGTTAAGCCATAATTTAATCAGTGGTGGATCCAGGGGAGGAGCCTGCCCTCCCCCCTATTTTTAGACCAAACTGAGGCCAGAAGGGCTAAAAAAAATTTTTGGGAGACCCCTCCCCCCCTTATCTAAGGATCTGGATGACCACCCCCTGCTTATCTCAAGGTCTGGATTCGGCACTGTTCAATAGCCCTGAAAAAGTGTTTCTAAGCAAATATTAGGGGTGGCGAATGGTACCTCGAAAAACGTGGGTCTCGGAAAATTTTGGCAGGATCTCGAAATCTCGGAAGCGTTTTAGGTAAGTCTCGAAGTCTCGTTTTTTCATGGTTTGCTTTTACTCTTTTTGAGTCTCGAAACTTTTCACCAAAGAGTCTCGGGCTCGGATTTCTAACTAGGATCTCGGCGTCTCGGCGAGTCTCGGATTTTACCATTCGCCACCCCTAATATTGTTTCTTTCCTTGAACGTTGTCAGGGCTCAAGATCTTTAAAAAATTTAAGAAATCCAATTTATATATAGGAAGTTAATTATTGCTCTAATGAAGTCATTCAAAAGCAGCTGATCATCATTTTCATCAGACAGCTTTTTTCTGCATTGTTCATATTGTCTTTTTTTGTTTGTTTTTCCAAAGTAATAATACGCAATTTACATTCATGTCAATTAATATCTCCATTAATATGTGCAATGAGCTTGCATATATTATTGCAATACCCAACTCATGAATATTACTATGAAATGAACCAAACAAAATTTTCCTTACAGGTCAGGGCATGCTTCTTTTAGACATGTTTCATGGCAATACATCAGGTTTTCAAATGAGGCCATGTAAGTGCAAAATCTTTCATGTAAAAAAATGAGTCTCATTGAAATATTATAATGATAAAATTTTTTTTATATCAAAGATTTCGTGCGTATCTTTGTTTTGAAAAAATATGCTTGAGGCAACTCAGAAATAATCTTTTTTGGTATCACAAAAGTACTCTTTAAATAATAATGAAATGACAGTTCACAGTTAGAGCAAATAGAGGTATTATAACCAAGAAAAATTAATGTGGCAAAATAAAAGAGATTGTTTTTAATGGCTATTTTGTATTTAGCAACCGGACTGTGACATTTTGGGCAAACATTAGTATGAAAAACTTCTGTGAATCCCTAACAAAAGTCAAACCTGGTAGTACCTTCCATGGCCTCCAATGGGGATTCACAGAGTTTTTCTTGTCAAGTTTTTTACACTAATGTTTGCCCAAAAATAGACTAGAGAACATTTCTGCAGATATAAACCTATTGATTTTTTATTTACTACAAAACGTTACAAAAAATATGATGCAGCATACATTTAATTGTATTGATCAACACAGATATACAGGTTGTGTCATTATGACAAAATGAACAACTTCTTCATCAGTTTGAACTCAACCATTATATACTATAATCACACATTTGACAGAAAACTAAGGTTATTTGATTGACAAGCACCTTCCAACAGTGCTTCTTTCCTTGGGTGGGATTTATTTGCAACATACTGATGACAATATCGCAAACCTCCAAGTAAAGGCAGAGTGTTTTCATTTTTATCATATTTTTTCTCACTTGAATGTGAACAAAAGTAGGTTGCATGTTATGAAAAGTGTTTCCAGAATTCTTGCAACTATGAAATAACTACCCGTTTTCCTTTTTTTGGTTTTTATGGTGATCACCAATTTATTACTTATTTACCAAGCTGAACCTTTTGGAAGAAAAGGTGAGACTGCCATAATAAATATCTACCCTAAAACTTGTGGTCAAACGGGAAAATCATATTTTTAAAAAACAAGTTACATTTGATCATTACATTGAAAAGTAGAGTTGCAGAATTTTTTTCAAGTAATTCCATTACACGGTAGCTTTATCTCTGGTGGAGTCGGGGATATTATTTATTCGATGAAAACATCATCACCTCAAATCATATCCCTCTGCAAGAACCAGCAAAAAAAAAAACGGAGCAAGAAAACTCTGATCGAGGGCTGTATTGTGCTTATTGGTTTCTTATCTTTTACAATTACCTTTGTTCTGGTTCCTACAAAAAGCCAAAAAGAAAGGGCCCATTATCCTCCAAACTAAGTTAAAAAATTCTTGAGAATTGAATAGCTAGCTCATGATCTATCATGGTTTTCTGTGAAAAGTAATAATTTAAAAAATGTCAGTGCTAAACAGAAGGATTCAAGCCAGAAATCTGATGCTCATTTTTGAATTCATATCTACATTTTCCAGTACCTAGAAGGTAAAAAAGACAACAAAAATTAGCAATTTTTTTAACACCATATTGCTGAATTTACTGGAGTCAAAATTTTTTCCCATTAGAGATCTTCAAAGAAGCAATGGCTGTTTAAAAAGGTTTTACTACGAAGTGCAAGTACATGTTAGTCACTTCAACCTAGGAATTAGCAAAAAAGTGCAAAATCATCTTGCGTGATTAACAATAGTTTGCATATTTTAATGATGGCAACACAACAACAATGAGCAAGGATTCTGATATGTCAATCGATATTGGGATTTGAAAGAGCGATATGGATCTCCAGACAGCCAAGACATATCAATGGATGGTGAGTGGATTTTCCACTATCTTGAGACTTTCTTAATATTTTCGCCAAAAGTATATTAGTTTTGTTGAGCTTGTTACAGTCCCTGGGCATTTATTAGGTCATTGACAGTAAGGGTGGAGAGGGGAAAAGGAGGACAATGTTAACACGTCAATAGACATCGAGAACTGGAACACTGACTTTCACACTGTGTGATCCTTAAAATCATCATTATTAATCTGTTTGAACAATAATTAAACAATACGCCGCATTTACTTACTCTCTTCAGTTCTTCAAATGAAATTGCACCATCCTTGTCAATGTCAGCATCACTTATTGCACGATCAGCAATTCCACCGAGTTGTTCATCACTAATGTTCATTCCTACCATCATATGAAGAACCTACAAACAAAAGGATAATTAACATGGTTAACAATAATACCAGTTCATAAAAATTAAATTTCGCCATTTTGAACGACACTGGATGGCCAACGCTTCGATGCTCACTACCAAGCGTTTGTAAGCCTCAAATTATTGATATAGAATGTATTAATGACAACAAAAACTTATCTAATAATAATTTTGTAACATTTGATTTCCTTTCAAAATAGCTGCCACAAATTTTGTAGCAAAATAGATTTTAAAAAAGCATCAAACATTTTGGTTTCCTATTTCTTAAAGCAGGGCTCGAAAAAAGACCCTCGGGAAGTGCAAGACAAGTAGTGCGGGGAAAGTAACTTGTAGAACACACTTGCTCAATGGGTAAGGTTTTGACAAGTTATCCTCTTAAAAAATCATTAACAAAGAAGAGCACGAAGTGTCAGTGGGCGAGCAAAATGCGAGAGCTGCTTGCCCAAAGAACAAGCTTGAATTCAAGTTTTTTTGAGCCCTGTTAAAGGAATTTTGGACAAAAATTCCATAATTAAGAAATGAAACTGAACTGCAGCTCTCTCAAAAACTTGTTGGCCAACAGAAGTTTAACAGAGCCATTGTTCACTTTGCCTAACTGAGACTGATATTTTCATACCAAATTTATTAACCTTTGTGAGCTTTCTTGAGATGATACTTTTTCTTGTGGGGAAAAACAGGCAATTATTGTAAGCTTGCAAGATAGATCAAGATATCTTATTATCAAATGTGTGATTTGGTCTGGCTGTGTTACCAAGTCAATAAGTCACAATAATAATAATTATACCAGTTATTGACATACCTGCATCAAGTCATCCTTTGATATTTTTCCATCATTGTCCAAATCATAGATTTTAAAGGCAACTGTTGGTAGCAAAGTTAAGCACAATATTATTAAGAAGCTGGCAAGAAATATTGTTTTCTAAATCTTCAAAATTGTGTAGAATGTAATCGTGAATTCCACTTACACTGCATCTTTTTTTCTCTACTATTCAAGGGATTTTCCGTGGCAGAATCAATAGGTCTGAAGTGAGCTAAAGTCCTAACAAACTGTCTGAAGTTGCATGTCTCTTCATCTCTTTCCCTAATAACCAAAGCAATTAACATTATTTACATGTACATTTATGGCTACATAGTTTTTTTTTTTGCAAGCCTTTGGCAAGGTTCATAAATTCATCAGAATTATTTTGTGTCATTTATATGTGGACCTCTTAGCACAGTAGTTACCCAAGTAGAATTAAGGGTGGCCTCTAAATATGTATTGTCAATGCTCTAGTAAGCAACCACGGCATTAATTCAAAGAAGTGGTCACAACAAAAACTTGTCACTTGCACAACGGTGCTCTCGTAACCAACCTGACACTGAATGATAGAGAATGGTTACTTACAAGAACTATTCTACACCATGCCTTTATAACAGTAACACTCTTTGACTTTTTCTAAATGTAGATTTGTCTTGGGCTAAAAAAGCAAATTACTTCAATAGACTGGTCCCACTCTTATTTCTTTTTTAATATATTTTTCATTCTGTTGTTGGAAGTCATCCTCCTAAGTGTTAAAATTATTTTCCTCAATCAGACATAACAATGGTTTGTAAGCAAGGAAGAATGACTTACTGACTGTCTTCATTCATAAAGAATGCATCTATGATTCTGTCACCGATTGGATTGATGGCCAGCTCTGGTATGGACATAAAATCTCTGCGGCTGATAAGTAAAACAAATAAAGATTTGTGAGATCAAAGCTTGTGTCTCTTAAAAGGAATTATATATAATGGCCTAAAGAGAAGCAATCATGAAGACCTTCTCACCAATAAAAGATGCTAATTAACAAATTTTAATGAAGAGAAACAAACTGGGCAATAACTTGAATAATAATCTTGAACCTTAACTCATAATTTAGATGAGTTGTTTTTCAGAGAAGATGAATGAGACCTTAGTTTAATTATTTCCCATGAAAGTTTTGCTATGCTTACAATGTACATCCTGTACTGAGTTCCCTTCCCCCTCAAATTCACACACTCTGCAAGCAGTGCCTCTTTTACCTTAATGGAGGGGGCAAAATAAGATCTAACATAAACTTGCCCATACTTAGAAGCTACTACAGAGAACTGGGTTGGAGATACTCGCTATAATGGCCTATACAGGGAGGCTCTGCTCAAAAGGGGTAACTTTTTCAGGCTTTAGGGATTTGAAAGAGTAGGGATTTCACTAGTTGAAGTATACAAAAGGGTAGGAAAAACTGTCATTTCAGTCTGTAAAAAGGCCCAAAAGGGCTAAAAGTTGCATCTATGGCTGTGAAAAGTCGAGAAAATGTTCTGGCTTTTTATTTATTCCTCTTTGAAAGACAGTGCAATTACAGTGATTAAAAAAGATGCAAAGTTCAAAACTAGAACTGGGTACCATTTTTCAGTAGCACGGACAATTTTCAGTAACTATGGACTACTATGAGTTGTAGCAGGATGGGAAAATGTTGGATCCTGAGGTTAAGAAGAAATGCAAGAAAGATAAGAGGAAATCTGTAATTTAATAACGCCTTTATTCATAATTTTTGTCCTGCCTAGATTCGCGCTATTGCTATTTGCAAGGCATAGAGTACTGTAAGCTTTTAATATGGATCTAATATTCTTAAATAAAATACATTGTTGTTGTTGTTGTTGTTGTTTCATTAGAAGGTATACGAAAGGGATACCATTACTGTCAAAGATGATACAAAGGGGTAAGGGGCTGGATCATGAGGCAGAGCTGTCCTGTATAAAACTCTGTTGATTACATCACCCTAAAAACCCCCAGCTCCCTCCTCCCCCTGACTACAGACCCAACTGTTAGGCTTTGAAAACTTTTTGGTAAACTGAGCTTGCTGAATGAAGGGAAAAAGCCAAACCACCCTTACTTCTTTATAAGATTCTTATCTTTGACACTGATATGTTTCTGCCCCATTTCCTATTAAAAGCACAAACATGGAACACTTTGATTCTCACCAAAAGAAAGAAGCTAATTTTTGCCAGATGGAACAAAAACACTTTATTGCAGTGTCAATCATGTCTTTAGCATGAAACTACTATATAATATCTCCTAAAAGAGACAGGACCGCCATTTTTGTGTAATCATGTGAGTGACGTGAAGGTCTAGCCATTTGAAAGGCAACGGAAGTGGGTATTTGTCTGGTGGTTGCAGGAATCAAGCCTGCAACCACTTGCCAGGAAATAGGAGACGTCTGCACGCAGGCAAGCAACCACCTGCTTTACAGTCAAGCACTTTACCAACTCAGCTCATCCTGCTGCAGATTAACAGAACCATGTTTCAGAAAATCAATGAACCAAGTTTCAGGAAAGCATGGACAAACCAAAACACTGGGGGTGAACTCTTTGTGGGGCTAAACCACTAGAGTCCTGTTGAAATGGACAAGCCTCCCAAACGACTGGGATGAATTATTTGTGCCCACTGTTCTTAAAATATATTTTTGCTGCACTTTAGGGCTTGTGAAATTAGGCAGTTTTGGCAACTTGTGTTGCAACAAAATTGCTACACAAGTTGCCAAAAAAATTATTAATTAATTTCTATAATTTTTACCTCAAAGTGCCCTTTGTGGCCTTGTCAAGACTTGAAAATCTGCAATAAAGTCTTCTTATTTGATTTGGAGAAACTGAAAAAAAACAAAAAGGAACACGTTTAACGAAAAGGTCAGAGAGAAAAAATAAAGTTTTACCGAATAGTCGACCTCGCCGGCTGGGCAATACACTGAATACAAAAATGAAAAAGCCAATCAAATAATTATACTTACAGCCAGTCTCGTTTTGTAGCTCTTCTATGTCTTCCTCTTGTAAAAGAGTAGAGGATTTTAAACCCATGTTTGGTATTTGCCTTTTACAACAAAAAAAAGAAGCCTTCACTACAGTATTGAGAACATTTCACCATAAAACCGAACTCGTCTGATATTTTTACCGAAGGTCAACCGAGCCGGGCTTTGTAACCGAGCTTTTGATTACGCACTGGAAAGAGAACATTGCCTTACTCTCCACCAGTGGGTAGGGGTTTTATTTGCAGCGTGGAAAAGACCAAACCTGATCAAAAACATTGATGTTGGCCGATCAAATATTGTAACTTCCATCTCTTCATCATTGTATGCAACTGCTTGACCGTTATTTCCACTTCCATAAATATTTTTTTTGTTATTTTTAGTTTGGCAGCCAAGGACGCTCACTCCATTTTGTAATTATGTTATTTTTCGGCCTTGGGATGTATACAGATGTGTACATGTAGATTTTTGTGCCCCAAATTGGTTTCATAGTTTGGGACAGATTAAAATATTATTTATAACTGTTTTTGAAACATGGAGGCAGGGATACACTCTATGCAGTTTACAAGATGTAGAAAATAACTCAAAATAACTAAGAATAGTACACACGTTCTGATTGGTTAAAAACCTATGGTTTATTGTGTTTTTAAGAGCGACTTTCTGTAAATACCACGGATAGGTGTGCAAGACGGAAAAATCGAAATCCCCCAAACTTTGTCACAACAAAGCCCTTTGGAAACTATTTTAGAAAATACAAAACTCAGTTCGTTTGACTTAATATTTTCCAAAATAATAATTTTTTTAAATTTTCATCTTCGAGAGGCCTTCAAACCACCGAAAAATGTGCTTGATACCCTCGCTTCGTGAATGGAAACGGAAACTAATACCATAACTTTTTTTACATTAAACAATGTTATGATCCTTCCTTTCTACCTAAACGTTGTTAGAATTTCAAAAGATTTCAATCTGATTTTTTAATATTTTTTCAAAATTACCCTCTAAATCAGCATTATCGCGACCATCAATTTTGCCATTTTTCAACGGCGAAAATCCCTTCCTGGTACATGGCTTTCATTAGAAAAATGGTATTCCAGAGAAAGAGCAATGTTTCCCCTATCAATCTGTGAAATAAAATTCTGGGGCAATTAAAACTGCGAGTTTTTACAACTGAAAACATTTACGGTACTCGCGTGATTTACGACCTCTGAACTTGCAGTTGTCGTGATGAATACAAGCGAGAACCTAGACAGCACTTGAAACCCTGACGCAAATTAGCCCCTTTTCCGCCAGTTTAAACACCAAAAACGATTTTAGATTTCACAGTGGTAAATTTTCAAAAGGAAAAGCAATTTTATTGTGCGAAAGTGTGCTATGAACTTCTTGACTACAAACACTTCCCTTACGTGCGTATTTGTTTACTTTTGCCGTACACATACACAGGAAACTTTTTGTAATTCCCAAACTGGGAAAGTGTTGGGGATTTTTCCCATTATTGGGAAATGGTTGGGACAGCATTTTCCTCTCATGGGAAACGATTGGTAAAAGTTTGGGTTTATTTTTCCCAACGCTGGGTTCACTTTGGGAAATGAAGCAAAATATTTTTCTAAATACCAATGTTGGGAATCCAATGGGTTTTCTCCCCAGGGTATGGGAAAATGATGGGACTATTTTTTCACAAGTTGGGAAATATTTCAACATGTTATTCCCAATTTTGGGAAATGCAAGGGACAAGAAATCCCCACATTGGGAAAGGGTTGGTTAAAGTTAGGGTTACGTTTTCTCGATACCGTGTTTAGTTTGGGAACTTACAGATTCCAAGATCCCAACATTGGGAAACCAATGGGTTTATTTCCCAAAATATGGGAAAATAATGGGGCTATTTTTCCACAAGTTGGGAAATATTGCAGCCTGTTATTCCCGATTTTGGAAAATGAAAGGGACAAGAAATCCCCACCTTGGAAAAGGATTTGATTAAATCTAGATTTGTCATTCTTATGACTATTATATTGGGTGGGAAAGAATACAATAATCTTGTGTTAGAATTACAATGTAAGGGTTAGGCCAATTATTATATTCTTTTATGGGAAATATTGAAAAATTTCAATCCAAAAGCAGAAAAGGATTAAGAATAATATTTTTCATACACAAAATGTTTGGTAACTAGTAAATCTTCCCAAATGTTGAATTTAGTCTTGAAAGAAATGACAGATTGCTCTTGAAATACCAACATACATAGTGTACAAATAATGTTTAAAAAGTTTAATTTTCTAAACATCATATCTGCTAAGTTTAGAACAAAACAGTTAAAGTTTCATTGGCTTATTTGAAAACCAAAAGTATGGTAATTCAGTGCATGCACTTGATCGCATGCAGCCGCTTCAATATAATTAACTATGAATGATCCCACTAGGCGCATAACTCTTCTCCATATCAAGGTGTCTTCTGTTGAGAGCTGAAATTTGCCCAGTTACTCGAGTCCAATCTGATTAATGAGATTGCTTTGCATGGAGTTTTCGGCGAACTACATTTTTCGCCGCATCTGTGAATAGGCCCGCTGCCTTTTTTCAAAGGTTCCCTCACCTGGGAGAACAATGCAATATTTTCTTCTCACTGCTTTGCTCTTCGCGAGCGTCGGCATAGTGCATTTAACTCTGAAACGGACCACAAGTTAAAGCTTTCAAAGACAGACAATCTTCATCTTGCGGTATTGCCGCCATGTTTGGTACTTGAACTGGCGTCCAGGCCTCCGCTTAGTGACGCGCGATCACGTGCGGCTTTTGAACCAATAGAAATGTGTACAAGATCAGTTTTCTTGGTTCAAATCTTTAGGCGGACTTCTGTGCAGTACAACAGTGGTTTGCAAACGGATTGTCTTTATAATCAATGCATCCAAAGATTTTAACGCAAAATATTCACTTGTGAGGTTGCTTACATTTGTCATGTTTCAAAATCGTCTTCTATTAAACAATGACTGAGCTGGATCGCGCATTAAAGAAGAAGGTATGTGTGGAAACTCGTGTTTGGTTGCTCCGTTGAGATCGTACGAGGCTCGATCGTCTCTTGTCGGGTGCTATTTGTTCGTTTTTATAGATGAAGTTTCCACCTTTTTTGTTTATACAGATGACTGTGGTCTTTGCTGCAAATCGTCCACGGAGTCCATTAGAATAATCATATTCTAGCGGAATATTGAAATCGAAGACTTCGATGTATTAGAGGAAAGATAAGAATGTTCTGACACGTCCGCTATGTAAAAACTATACAAGAGACTGGTTCATTTATTATAATTATGACTTGACGCTGTTTTTTCCCAGGTAGGACCTAGCAATAACTAAATACCATAGTGGTTCTGATATAAATGTTGCTGCTCTTAACCATGAAAATGAAGTTAAGGGACATTTGATGTGTTCATAAAGGAATTGAGCTGTTTGATGAATGTATGGAATAGCCTTCGACAATATGACTCTGCATAACTGCATTACTCTATGATTGATGAATGAACTTAAATTAAACAGTTTAATATATTTTTATGATACAGTTTTCAATGATATTGTATTTTTGCACGTTATATTTACATATAAAGAGATACAGATTAAATACCTGTTTAGTAACAATCAACCAGTTTGAATTGACACCTGCATTGTCATCTAAAATAAATGTTACTGTTAACCATATTAATATTGTCGAACCTTTTTTGTGTGTTTTACAACTGGACCAATATTTTTAAAGGCTGCTTGATTGATTACAATTACATTCATAAGTCCATAAGTCAGGACATATGTGGGCCAATGTTATCCCATTATTGAAGATCAACTGGGGCAATAAAAACCCATCTTTGGAGTGTAACTATCCCAATATATTCCCATATCTCGGGTTTAAATTGGTCCAATACTATCCCTTTAATGGGATAAAAGTGGACCAATGTTATACCACTAATTGGGGATTACCTGGGGCAATAAAAACCCATGGTTGGGGTATTACTGTTCCAATATAATTCCTACATTGGGTTTCAGATGGCCCAGTATTAACCCACTATTGGAGTTCAACTGGGACAATTGAATCACATTTTTGGGGTTTTTGTGGGTTGGTAAAATCCCATTAATGGGATAAATATGGGACACGAAAACTCCATTCCTGGGTTAAAGTTGGTACACTAAAATCCCAATTTGCGGGTTTTTATTGGGTTTACTTGAACCCAATGTTGGTTTTGGTAGCATTTTCCCAATTTGGGAAATTACAACCAAAACCCAAGAAAACCCCACGAATTTCCTGTTTTTTCCCACTTTGGGAATCACCAAAAATTCCCTGTGATATGTACAAAATGGCTAATAGTGTCGGTAGCTATTCTTTCAAATGCTCTCATTTCTCATGAACCAAATCGTTATAGCTACAAAAAAAGGAAAACATTTTGACCTACCTCACATTATTTGACAACAGACCCGAATCCTTTACTGCCTTTAGCGATACGAGCTTGCGTGACAAAGAACTTTGAGACCCAGGTTATACCGCGCAGACAGATACCATTCCGAAAAAGAAACTCACGCGGCACCTTCTGTAGCTATAAAAGCGAAACATGTAAAATATCAAAATTCTTAGTTTCGTTGACTTATCTGCCAGAGCGACCCTGCAAACGTAACACTAAAAAAATATTTTTTCGTCAAAAGACTATATAGGGGTGGGCCCTTATACAGTGGAACCGCGATATAAAGAACCTACGAATGATTTTCTTTACCTCGATAATAGTAAAATATGCCGTAAAACCTATATTAAAGCCCCCTGTCAAATAACCCCCCTCCCTCTGATTAGCCCCCCCCCCCTTCTATCAAGCACCCGCTTCCCACCCGTAATTATTCTTCACTAATAAATGAAAGACTGTATTAATCAATCACGACCGTAAAGGCTTCGTGTGGACTGATCCGGGATGGTTTATTTACCAACGGGAAGTTCGGATTTGATAATGATTTTCGACTGCATGACCTAAAACTTCCTGTACTTGAGCTTTTCCACTTTGTAGCCTTTATAGAGAAGCGATACCATCTTAGTTTCTAAATTAAACATATTAAGCCCCCCGTCTCTATTAAGCCCCTCCCCCTCAAATGAGCTTGAAATAATAAGCCCCCCGGGGGAGCTTAATAGAGGATTTATGGTATGAAAAAAAAACCTCGATATAACGAAACCTCGTTATAGCGAGCAAATTTCAGGGGCACTCAACGACTCTTTTCTGCAAAATATATCATGGGAGAAGTAGATATTGCCTAGAATTTTCTATAGCTTGAGGACGCCTAAAAATTTCTAGACGACCGTTCCGTTCCTGTTCAATTTTCGAAGGTTATCTTATAAATTCCCTACGATTTTCTGAAGTTTAATTTTTCAAATTTTACATCCCAGGTTAGGCTAATTTTTCATAGAAAAGAGGAAGCCTAAAATGGTCGGATTCAAACATGTGATTGAGAGAGGAATCAGAAAAATTCTCACTTTCGTGATACGTTAAATTGCATCTAAAATTTTTGGGAAAATAATACTGAAGCCCTTGTAATTTCAAAAATGCTCAATGCAAGTTTCCCTAGGATGACCGAACAGGAACAAATTTTACAAGCCGCTTAGAATGCATTTCTAGAGATCTAAAAGTACTCTGGGTGCACCATTGAAAAATGTTTTCAATGAATTTAGAAGGAAACCGTCGTTGGGTGGCTCAGAAATTTTTTTAGGCCCTTGGCCCTTCGTTAAATCCAGGTTCCACCGTAGTCTTTTGTTTTCATCACGCTCGTTTTAAAATACGATTATGAATTCCTTACTTGTATTCTTAGGAAAAAGCGCTAAGTCGTAGTCTAAAATGTCATCCGTCCCTTCCCTTCACCCCCTAAGGGGCCACAGCAGGTTTCGGGGTGGGGCGAAGGCACGCATAACATTTCAGACTAGACATGGCGGGGCTAAAAAACCTGCATAACCTTATAGCACCTCTTGTGTTTAAATTTTCTGTAGTTCTGGCAAACTCGAACAAGTTTTGCATTTCTGAGGAACGTTTTGCCAAAATATAGGTTATGGCACATGTCAAGCCAGAAAAAGTGAGCAGTTTGATAGAAAATGTCAAGTACGACTGAACAACGCCCGTAAAAGCGCCCCTAATGACTCGGGCGGGAGGGGGAGGCTGGGTGGGGAGGGGAAACTCTGAAATTGAGCAAAGAGGACCTAGCTCTAAGCACACCGCCTTCTTTTTAGTTGTCCGTTTCCCTTGGCAATAAATTTTACCCACAGTGTCGAGCAACTCTTTAAAGGAGATTGCAAGCCCTTATATTTGGGCCCGTCAGGAACGCTCAGCGGTGAAACCAAAGATCGCGCCCTCAAAAAACTTATTTTAACTTACTGAAAGCTGTTTTTTCTTGACCTATTTAACTTATCGTTAGGAAAGAAGAAAAGTAATCTCATAATTAGCGTATGTATAAAACTATCAAGAAATCTCAAAATTCTGGGTTTTCTAAGAGAACAAATACTTTCGAAAAATTTAGGAGAAAGTCCGTAGACTGGAAATAACTCGCTATCAATTATCCCGAAGATATCCGAATATCTCACATTTCAAGCCCACGTTAATTCGCTTCATTTTTGAGGGGAGCCAACATTAGCCGCGCCACTGTTATTTTTTTTGCGCCCGGGTATCTCACGTTATGCTTACGCGTATCCGCAAGTGTGTCTTACATCCTACGCTTACGTAAAGGTTATATACCTGGAACGATGGGGTATGTGATATATTCACCTGGTACCGCCCCGAAGGCTACGTGTGTAAGACTGTTCCTTTTCAGATTTTCAATAGCAATGCAAGAAACAATAGCTTTCAGTTAGCGCGAACGGCCTTTCCTTCTCTTTTATTTTCGTTTCTTTTTTTTCTCAAAAAACGCAGCTTTTTTTTCAAGGTGTGAGGGGCGCGATCATTGGTTTCACCCCTCCAGCGTTCCAAACGGACGCAACTATACGGCTTGCAATCTTCTTTAAAGAGTTGCTCAAAAATATGAGCGAAATTTATCTCCAAGGCAGACTCACAGCTAAAGCGCAGACGGCATGTTTAGACCTAGGTCCCCTTCGCTCCATTTCAAAATTCCCCCCCTCCCCCTGCCAGAATCATTAGGGGCGCTTATACGGGCGCGGTTCAGTCGTACTTGACATTTTCTATCAAACTGCTCACTTTTTTCTGGCTTGACATATGCCTATATTTTTCCCAAACGTTGCTCAGAAATGCAAAACTTGCTCGAGGTTGCCAGAACTACTGAAAGCTTTGCTTTTAACACCAGAGGTGCTCTAAAATTATGCAGGTTTTCTAGCCCCGCTATGTCCAGTTTGAAATGTTCTGCGTTTCTTCGCCCCACCCCGAAACGGGCTGCCGCACCTTAGGGGGTGGAGGGAAGGGACGGATGGCATTTAAGACTAGGAATTAGCACTTTTTTCCCCCTAAATGTCATTTTTCTAAGGATACAAGTAAGGAATTCATAATCGTATTTCAAAGTGTGTAAGCAGGCGTTTATGGAAAGTAAGAGAATATAAGGGCCAACCACGTCATAGTCTGTTGTGGAAAATATGTTTTTTCAGTCTTACGTTTTCATAATCGCTCTAGCGGATAAGTCAGTGAAACTAAGGATTTTGATTATTTACATGTTTTGCTTTTATAGTTACAGAAGGCACCGCGTGAGTGTCTTTTTCGGAATGGTATCTGTCTTCAACCTGGGTCTCAAAGTCCTCTGTCACGCAATCTTATTTCGTTAAAGGCAGTAAAGGATTCGGTTCTGTTGTCAAATAATGTGAGGTAGGTCAAAACGTTTTCCTTTTTTATAGCTATAACGATTTGGTTCATGAGAAATGAGAGCATTTTAAAGAATAGCTACCGACACTAAAGCCGTTTTGTAGATATATGATAACTGTTACAGATACGGCAAAAGTAAACAAATACGCACGTAAGGGATGTGTTGTAGTCAAGAAGTTCATAGCACACTTTCGCACAATAAAATTACTTTTCCTTCTGAAAATTTACCACTGTGAAATCTAAAATCGTTTTTGGTGTTTAAACGGGCGGAAAAGGGGCTAATTTGCGCCCGAGTTTCAAGTGCTGTCTAAGTTGTCCCTTGTATTCATCACGACAACTGCAAGTTCAGAGGTCGTAAATCACGCGAGTACCGTAAATGTTTTCCGTTGTAAAAACTCGCAGTTTCAATTGCCCCAAAATTTTATTTCACAGATTGATAGGGGAAACATTGCTCTTTCTCTGGAATACCATTTTTCTAATGAAAGCCATGTACCAGGAAGGGATTTTCGCCGTTGAAAAATGGCAAAATTGATGGTCGCGATAATGCTGATTTAGAGGGTAATTTTGAAAAAATATTAAAAAATCAGATTGAAATCTTTTGAAATTCTAACAACGTTTAGGTAGAAAGGAAGGATCATAACATTGTTTAATGTAAAAAAAGTTATGGTATTAGTTTCCGTTTCCATTCACGAAGCGAGGGTATCAAGCACACTTTTTTCGGTGGTTTGAAGGCCTCTCGAAGGTGAAAATTAAAAAAATTATTATTTTGGAAAATATTGAGTCAAACGAACAGAGTTTTGTATTTTCTAAAATAGTTTCCAAAGGGCTTTGTTAGGACAAAGTTTGGGGGATTTCGATTTTTCCATCTTGCACACCTATCCGTGGTATTTACAGAAAGTCGCTCTTAAGTTACCTCCTCCGCCCCTCCCCTGCCCCTCCTCCAAAAATAACCAATGAGAAATCAGGATTCAGTACCAATCAGCTCAAAACGACGTAGGGAAACTGGGGCGACATTAAACAAAGGAAAGTCGAAGAGGCGGCGGTTTATGCGCCGTCGACAGTGAAGCGAACGAATTGTGAGATGAGACCATGAATTGTCCGAGATTACTACACTGGATAAAAGCTCCTACTCATGTTGTCAGATTATATCACTCACGAAAACATAAAGAATTGTTTTTAATCGGCGTTCCATTTGCTGGCGGTCAGGCAAGTACTGAACAAGTCAAAATACCTTAGATAATTTGATGAATTAATAATGCGCGTGTTTACGTAATGTGTGCCTTTCGACGAAGCAGTAAATTTTCTACGGTACGCTCTGTTTATCAATTTACTACGCTAATCCTAGTTTGTAAAAATCTTTGTTAGCTGCCAAAAGTGTTGATATTACTGAGACGAGCAGAGGAGGTCACGAGCCTTCGCACCTGTCAGGATGAAAAGAGAACCTTCAAAATCACGTGCACGCTTCACGTGCGATGTGGTGTGCCATGCTTGGACATCACAAGATCACCCAAATTCCTGTTTACAAGGACAAAAACCGTTAGATAGCAATATCAAAACAAAAATATTTCGATGGTATTACAGGGACTAGTAGAATATTGAAAGTATTTAATTTGGAACATTTTGAAGGTTTGTGAGAGGCTAGGTCTGAACGTTCTGATCAGGTGAGCTTCTTACTTCTCTTCAGATCCCTTCCTTCCAACAAACTCACACTTCTTGGCTAACAAGATTTTCAAGATTTTGTGGGATAAAGGAAAACGGCACTTATTTGTTACTGCTGCCTTTTATTATGACTTTTGTGTTGTTGTTGTTTTGTTTTTTTTTTCAGCCCTCGAGTCTGTCATTAATTAAAATTTGGATTAGTCCTTTTTCGAATGACAAAATTTTGAAAGGTCAACAACAGGTCACTTTAAGGTCCCTCTTGAAATAGGGCCAGGACACTTTTTTGTCTTATTGGCATCTATTTTCTGTAACATGGTGACTTGTGTATTTCCTGTATTTTATACTTGTTGACTTTTGAAAGGATATTATTTTGTTAAATCAGGTCATTAACAACCTTAAAAGTTTCATTATTTAAAAAAATATGTTACATTTGTTTCCTAATAGCCAAGGAAAGGTCTTGAAAAAGGACCTGCTTCCTTACGACAGCATGGGTTGGTGAACAACATTACCAAACTAGGTACGTATAGTCTTTCAGAATCAATTCATTGATTCTGCAATTGTTTCCTTTTATGACATAATTAATCATCACATTATTCAATAGTGAGAAAAGTTTTTAAAATGAAATCAATGGAAGCTAAATTGTGCCAGAAAACATGTTTTCAGAAATTCTTTCGAACTTGTTAAAAAAAAATAAATACCAAAACACCTCTGTACCAATATACATGTATTATTATCAAAGTGTAGGACGGTAAACAGTCTAAATGACTATAGGGTGTAAAATCGATATATCCCTCAATGGTATTTCAGTCTTTGAGTATTTCATAAAGTCCTCCACAGCAGATTGAGAAAAATAACAGTTTTTGATAATGATTATTTTAGTGACATGTTACCTCAACACTGTTTTAGTCAACATTTTTTGGGATAATTTTCTTATTTTAACAGGATTTACAGTATCAGATTTTGGAGAATTAGAAGTCCCACTGACTGATACAGAAAATCATAATTACATTACAAGTGGCACTACTTTAAAAAATTCCCTGGAATGTGGCACTGTAGCACACAAGGTAAGCCAGAAAATTTGCCAATTCTTTACTTCACCTTTGCATGATAAAAAATTAATTTTGAAATAATTCACAGAAAGATGTTGGTCTCCAAGGCCAGACCTTTCGTAGGGACGAGCTGAGTCAAACTTCTATTTCCCGTCTAATGAGGCTCAAGGAAGCTTTAAAAAGTCCTCTGTAAGGGAAGTTACAGATATTTTCAGATCTATTTTAAACAGTTTTTACTATAAAAGTGAGAAGAATTCACACTGATTTCTGTCAACCGTCAGTTGATTTACTTGAACCGTGTAATTGATTGTTGAGGGTTATGTCTTCTTGTTTGTAGCTTTCGGAAGAAGTAGCAAAAGCCACAAAACAAGGAAAGATCTCACTTACAATTGGAGGAGATCACAGGTAAATATACCTTGCGAGCAGAGGTTTCTCTCTTGCATGGCTTTTAGCGTTTGCGAAGTCATTCAGACACGTGTCTTGTCTGCCGTGTAGTTGGTTTGTTTATGCCCCAAGGGGCTTGTAGTTAGGGTAAGGTAACTACTGTACATCTGTATTGGAGTGGATCATGGGAATTAAGCTTTTAGCCTTCAGTTACCCCCTTTCCAGTCTGTGTCAAATTTTGCTATTAAAGATCTTTTTTTTTTTTGCATCACCGAGCAGTGACATTAAGCCTTTGACCTGAAACAACCCATGATATTGTTTAAAAAGAAAAGGGGAGAACTTTACCCCAGTGTCAGTCAAACTTCCAATTTGCTGAAATTGTCAAATGTAGGAAATTTCCCTGGAGGTGATGTCTTTGCTTGACCATTACTGAGTCATGCAAGGTCAAGCAAAGACATCTGACCTCTAGGTTTTGTCATTTTGTTGTTTACAGTATCGCAGTTGGTACAGTTTACGGCCATGCAACTGTAAGAAAAAATTCATGCCTGTTGTGGGTGAGTATTTTCGTAATGTACAGAAAGCCGCCAGCGGTGTAAATATTTAAGATAGAGGTGTTGAATTTGACAGCAAAGGTATTGGGACAAAGAGTAATTTTTATTGAAGCCTACCACTTAGTCCTCCATACTTAGATTAACCTCATGCATTTCTTTAAATTTGTGCATCTCATGCACCTCCTATATGCATTTGCCAATTGCACATCTCCGATATATTACACCTTTACACAGTGCATATTATGTACATTTAATTTCTCCTGGGTATTACAGTGGTCCCTAGAGAAATTGAAGACAATCCCTATGCAACTTTTTTGGGGGAAGGGGGAGGGTGGTACAAACAAGGTGTATTGTGGGAGATATTTTCATAAGTGGTGAATGTACGGGGACTGCTGTATATGTTTCAAAGTATTAACTAATACTTGGCTAATCCTTAATATGTCTCCAATTTTTTTTTATGTTTCAGATTGATGCCCACATGGACATCAACACTCCATCAACATCTCTCTCTGGCAATATTCATGGAATGCCTTTGTCTTTTTTGATCAAAGGTGTCCCAGAGGTAAAATATAGATTTAGCCAGGGGCTATAAAAGTGAAGCTTTGGTTAATAATACTTATATCTAAACAAAAAAAATTAAATCATGTAATGCTAAACGGGGACGGCAATGAAAATGGCGTCAAGATAAATAGATCTAATTAGCAAAAAAACAAATTGCACGTGCAGCACACTTTTTTTTTCTAATAAGCAAACAACAGATTTGCACATGCAACACACTTTTTGTCTTTCTTTGCCATTGTTTTCCCCAACTACAACGCTGTTTTGTAGGACTAAAACGTCAAACTTCCTAGTTACATGTTATTATTATGGAGGAATTGTCGTATGTGCTTACCCAATATTTTGTCTCCTGTGTTCATTTTCACTTTTATTTTTCACTGCCACTCATTTTCACCTTGCTGGCCGGCCGCTCCTTGCTGGCCACTAGCATCTCTCATTATCTCACCGCCACTTTGAATTTTCATGTTTTCTTCCTACAAAGTTCGCCTCTTTTGTTTTCAATCACTCGCTCTAGCTCTTTCTTTGTTATCCACATGAGTGTAAACATAAAAAATAGCATCGAAAAAGACACAACTTTTCTTTGTTTTTTCTTTCTAAAGTCCAGGCGCACCGGGCCATGCGATTTCTTTCCAAATAAAACCTTGAGTTGCATTTCGGTTGCCATACCTATTGATTGAATTATTTTCCACTGGTATACCTGTGGTGCGAACAGACTCTCAGGCAGTCGGTCGGTCGGTGTATGGTCACATGATCACCAAATTTTCTTGGATGGGTAGTTTACCACATTGTCTTACCCTTGGTGCTCTGCTGCACGCACTTCACGTGTAATAGGCTTGGGCAGAAAATGCATTGTTCCCCACCATACTGTTATGAAGTATTATTTGTTTGTGAATATTCAAATATTGTCCAGTCGGTGGACAGCTCTTATTATTCTTAAAAAAGTTAAATTCAGCCCCCCTCACAGAAAAGTAGGGGAATGTGTAGTACATGTACTTCTATACATGTACATGGTAAAATGCAATCAGAAGTTACAAGACAGTGATTTTATAAGTGACAGGGCAGTCACCAAAATTCTATCATGATCCTTCAATTACTTTAGAATTTCCTCTCTACAAATTAGGTCATGTAGTTGAATAGCCTTTGGCTATTGTTGTGGTTGGAATCCTTTCATTCCCAATTAAAGTGGCTAATGAAAAAATTCACAGAAATTCCAAGTTCCTATAATTTGTACAAAATTCTAAGAAATTAAAGAAGCAGAAGCATCATGTAAAGTTCTGCCCTAGAGGTTTTATTTGAATGTAACATTTTAGTAAATATTTGTTTTACTCAATCATTCTGTGGTAACTTAACTGGATCTAAGGGGTTGATAAGTTTTTTTCTTTCTTTCTTTTTCATGAAAAAAATTGCATTTGATTTTGATGTTGAACGTTTTATTTTTTAGTTTGCTCAACCTCCTGGATATGAGTGGTGCTCACCATGGTAAGTGTGTAATTTATAAATATTTGGGATTTAACATTTTTGTTTGTTCAAGATAAATACCTCCCAAGATTGATCATATTTTGCCCACAGACAAGAGTCAGAGGCTATGCTCTGCTTTGAAGGTCAACAACTGATGTCACACTGAGTTTGTTCAGGTGCAGACATTATTTAATTAAGCCTGACACACTTATTTTGTACATGTGTCTATAGTTTGTCTCCAAAAGATGTTGCATATATTGGACTTAGAGATATTGAACCACAAGAAAGGTAAGTGTTTTTTTTATTATTATTAGCGACACAAGGAGATGATTTTCTGACTTTTAGTGAAAATGATTTTCACTTACAGTAAAAGCATGTGTTGGTTATATTGGAGGCCAGGGTGGGAGTACTCAGATCAAGGAAGTATTTTACACGGAGGGTTTAACCGATGTCCAACCCCCTACCCTTTTATATACCATTTTTGACAGAAATGATGCCCCTTTTATATACCTTCTTCTGAAAAATGGACCTACCCCTTTCATGTACCTTGTTTAGAGCACTCATGCATCCCTTTTAACTGCTGTAAATTCACCATCCTTTTGAATATAAATAAATCACTAAACCAGGACATTTTCTTGTCTCCGTCACGTCCATAAAATGCTTCTGTTAGCCCTTTTCAGTCCTTTTATAAACGCAACATGACAGATTTCCCTATTCTTTCATACCTCAACTAATGAAATCCCTACCCTTTCATATACCTGAAGCCTGAAAAAGGGACTTCTTTCAGGCGTAGCCTCACCATATTACAGGCCAATTTAGAGAGTACCCCCCACCCCCCAGAGGAGGGGTTTTTTACCACTTTAAAATACATGTATGGCAGACTTGCAAGTCTCACGACTTTGTTATGAGTCTCACGATCTCACTAGTCACTGTAACTTGACTGCAGGGAGATATGTGATGAGCTTGGAATTGCAGCATATACCATTGATGACATTGATAAAGTTGGAATTGGAGAAGTAATCCAAAAGGCACTTGAAACCATAAATCCAAGGTAGAAGATATGATAATGATCTAATTATGATGATAAAGTTTTAATTTTATAGCCAACCCGTGATAAATGTTGTTCAAGCAGGCACATTGTCAATGGTTTTGTAACCTACTGAAAGGAAAAGTACTACCTCTACCTCTGGACAGTCCTAAAAAATAAAGCATCTGATCCATTAACAATATTTTTAATTTTGCTGTAGGGGTGATCGTCCCATTCATGTCAGTTATGATATTGATTCATTGGATCCAAAGGAGGCCCCAAGCACAGGGACACCAGGTTAGATGCCCTTGGCAATGCAGGGTGTAGCACAGTAAAATATAACCCAGTTGAGCTGTCATATATGCTTTGGCACTGTTTATTAATCTACTGTTCTAACATTCCGAATGTTTCCTCTGTTTTTAGTGAAAGGAGGCTTGACATTGGATGAAGGAATTTACATCGCTCAAATGGTGGCTGAAACAGGTTTGTTTACACTGAATAACAATTTCAAGTGTAAATAAGCAAAAATGCACCTATGTTGATTCTTTCTTTCTTACTTTGTTGGCTTGTTTGTTTTTTCTTTCCAGGTTAACACAATCCTTTTACAACAGCAATTTTTGATACCATTAATTTGACCAGAAATTCTTTGAAAATTCCATTGAACACTCGCTAGCAATGATAAATTGTTTGAATTTTAAAAGTCGCAGAACTTGGCTATCATTGTTTATTTCATAGTTATCAACTCTGCATAACTTTTACAGTCAAGGCAGGTCAAGGGTACCCCCAAAGATTCTAATAATGAATTGATTATTTGAGAAATGAATCCGTTAGTTGTTCCCGTTACTAGTGTCAAATTCAAATCGGCATTCCTGTGTAATGAGCTGTGAATATTTTACGAGAACTTCTCTGTACCTGGTCAGATTGTAAATCTTTGAATGGTTAAAATTGCTTTGAAGACATTTACATCAAGCTCTGGAAAAATGAGCTGGTAGATATTTAATTAACTCCCTTGCGTGTGAATTCACGGCTTATTACACGTGCAAAATGAAGATAGGAATCTGAAATTTTTTACTACCAACGGATTCAACTTTTGAATAATAAATTCATTGATGGAATCTTGGGGGGGGGGGTACGCTTGACCTGGCTTGACTGTAAATAAAATGATTAGCAGCAGGGTACCGATCTCCATGCTGAAGGCTGTCATACTAATTTATCTGTTATTTCTGCCGTATTGCAGGGTGCCTCTCTGCCATAGACATGGTGGAATTTAATCCAGCAATAGGAAGTGAGGAAGAAGTGACAAGAACTGCCATGAATACAATGGAACTGATTAACATATTACTCGGCAAGAAAAGTCACCTCACAGAGGCTCCATTGCCTCCTGTGGATGAAAACAAAGTTGATGTCAATAATGGAGTTGTAAATTAATCTTTAGCAAAAGTGGGGGGGTGGGGATGGGAGGCTGTAAAGGGTCAGGGGAGAGGTGGGAAGATAAAATCGTAATTCCATGATGGTGAAGAATACACTACTGTGGGCTATATTATAGGTACTTCCATGTGAGTAGATCAAGGAAAAAGTCGCCATTTTGGACAGTGTGAGCACCAAAGACACACCCCAGGGCATTCCAGGGTGTGAGCTCAAAATGTTGACAATTTTCTGTGAGAAGGTCAGTTTTGGAAAGTTGATTACAAAGCACTTTAGCTGATGTAAAGTCATTGTGTAAAGTGGTTTATTTAAGCTCAGTTACTTGTGCCGTTATTTATCGTTGCCTATTTTGTGCAATATTTGAGCAATGTAAATAATTTTTACAAAGTTGGCCTGAAATAACAGAAAGGAAAAGTAACTAGCAGGTTGTAAGCTTAAATGCAAATTATAAATTTTTATTATGTACCATGTGCAGTTTCATGAATTTTAAATGTACGATGAATTATAATTACCAAATAACAATCGCGAGAGTAACAACAGTACTATACTCGCTACAAATGTCAATACTCAAGTCGCTTTAGAGAGGAAGAAGCAATCTATTCTGTAAAATCTCGTACGTACATATAGAGCGGTTTTCACTTGACTGTCGAAAGTAATTGGTTTTGGTTTTGGTTTTACTACGCCCTCTGGTTGGCTAGTGTATTTACTTTGGTTTTGGTTTTACGACAGTCAAGTGAAAACCGCTCTATATGTAAGACCTATGAAGTGTACAATACACGATAAGCTGACATAAGAGTTTGTATGGGAAATAAAACTCGGAATAAATACTAGACTCAACACACTGGGTAGATTTCTCAATAAAGAGCATAGAGCAGTGATGCCGGGAATTGTTCTGTCTTTCCACGACGTTTCAGCGCTATTTTTATGGTTTTGGATATATTTACTAAGTCAACCTGTAGAATCCATACACACTGGCATACCGAAGTTGCATCTGCCAATTCCAGCCACCCTCAACACCCCTCCAGTAACTGAGGGGGCGTTTGGGCACCTTCTCAATCGAGCATTAGCAAATATAGCGCTGCCTAACTCCAGAATAGACAAAAGCCACCCAAGGGCCGATTGACACGTGCGTGTTGACTCGAAATACAAACATTGAGGACTTTGTTACAAGGAGCTAGCAATTTGACGTAGATTAACTTGTCTGTCAAGGACCGAGCAAACGTGAAGATTCTTCTAACCGTTGTGCGCCCTTCAGTCAGGTATTTGTTTTACCAGGCTTCCTTTGTCAATTCGGACATGGAGCGGGTGGCTTTGCCATTTCTCCGGGAGATTTCCGAGTCAAGGCTCAAGTTGATGGAGATGGTGGAACCAAGGAAGGTGAATTTGTCCACTACCTCGGTTTTAATATCAGAGGTTTGGCTGACACGTATGGTTTTTCTTGAGGACGATTGGGCAGTGGCCGAATAGTGAATGGCCTCCCTCACGAAGTTCCATCTGGAGATGGCATCCTGACCCTGGGGGTACTCGAGGGCCTTCTCTATACCTCGCTGAGGAATTTGCGCCGATACTTTGAGTCAGAAGTCCCGGCTGTGTTTATGCGCGGAGTTCTTTGGTTGCACACCAAGGCATGATCACTATCGCATTCGGCGCTGTTGTAGCTGCGAGTGGAGAGAACGTTGGGTAGGCTGCGTCGTCTGGCGATTACTAGATCAAGCTGGTACTATAATGATCTTTGGGATCGCGAATGTTTCCATGAAACATGATGTTGCGGCTTGCCTTCAAATAAGGTGTTGATTATGCACAGATTGCGCGTGGAGCAGAGCTCCAAAAGTCATAGTCCATTTTCGTTCATTTTGCCGGTCAGATCCAACCCTGGCATTGAAGTCGCCAAGGAGCAGGAGCTTCTTGGCTTCAGCTGATTTCTCTGTACAACTCCTCGTAACGGCGGTCTTTAATGTCTTCAGGCGCGCTCAGAGTGGGGACATAGATACTGAAGAGGTTGATAAGGCCAACTGTATGTAGGTATGTATTTATTCTTGTATACAGCTATTTCGAGAAAGGTTGTCGGAAGAAATGTGCACGCGACAATCCCGATAGGTAATATGGGATATGATCAACACAATGTTCCTGACACTGTAGCTGTCGAACCTACTTTTGTTGCTTTCTTTTAGCACACGCAAACATACTTCCGTGGCCTCTCGTGTCATTCTTTCAAACTTCTTTGAAAAACAGTGAATTCAAAACCACCCATAATACCTTTCGGGATTGTCGCGTGCACTTTTTCCGACAACCTTTCTCGAAATAGCTGTATTCAATAAAGACTAAAGACAGGCGGAGGGATAGGATGCGTACGACTGTATGCTCACTGATTTTATTCACCTCTTCTTAGCTCATTCGTGAGTGAGGTTAATATACTTGGCTATCCTGCAAAAGTCCTGTGGTCATTAAGTTCTGTTGCTATTCTCACAGATCAAAAAGGGTGTGATATCCTCACGTGATTGTATATGTGTATCCTTTTTTCATTGAAGATGGGTGTGAACATATATTTCCAGTAAGGCACCGTTTACTGTGTATAGGAAGAGAAGTTGTCTCGGGTGGGAGGATCACTTGCCTACCCAAGTTACACTAGGCGAGTCAAAGTTTCATACACTTCCCTATAAAAATGGGCGAGACGTTTTCATGAGGAACAAATAGTTGGCTCGCGGCTAGAAGGGTGACGTGTCCCCGGGGGGGTACTCCCATATATTACCTATACGGGTATGTGCCGCCCAACGGGGTCGTGATTTTGAAGCTCCTGATTTAGAACGGGGTATCCATTTCAGAGGCGTTTTCTAGAACGGGGTGTCGAACGCACGAAAGCTTCAGTTTTGTAAGCAGCCATTTGAAATTATTTATTTAATTGTTGCTGATTATGAAGAAGCATTTATCTGATGTAAAGTCGAACAAATAAAGAAATATCTTTAAAAAAAAAAAAACAGGGCTGTTTCAATTTACAAACTTTCTACAACGGAGTATAAAAAATTGGCCCATTTCTAGAACGGTGTATCAATTTTAGGGGAAATTTTTTCTAGAGCGGGGTGCCAATTTGGAGTCCCGGCACATACCCACCAAAAAAATACCCAGGTGCCACCCCCGGGGACGTGTCTAGCCTGTCAACCTTTTTCGATAGCATAGTTCCGCTCTTAGCCAGGTCAACTTTTCTCCAAATAAACACTTTGGCTCGCCCAGCCAGCTGGGTCAACTCGGTCAAGGCAAAACAATCAGAGCATGCGCGAGCACAGTTGGCTCCAGCAAAGGTTGGGAAAAGGTTGAAAAAGGGTCAACATTTTTCTAGACCCGCGCGTGCCATTTGCGTGTCTCCCGTTTTGCTCGACGGACTACAGGAAAAAGAGAAACTGCTCGTAGTCTAACTTTTTTCTCATATAAACGCTTAAAATTTGTTTCGGCTTAGCGGGTGACCCTCTTCCCCGGGATATCTTTCTCCATATTATGAAGACCTAAGAACTAAGACATTATTCGAGCATTTCGAGCATTTTGTGTATTGGACATCCATTTACTAATTCCAAGGAGACAGACATAAAATAATCCGGCATCTACATGCGGTAGCAGCTCATTATAAGGATGCCTAAAATGCGTTTTAGACCTTTTTACCGATACGGCGGCCATATTGAATTAATTAAATTGAAGGCGCATTATGGGATGCCCAGAGGTCATTAGCACGATCCGATATACTCGCTCAGTATTTAGGCGCGCTTTTCGAGGCAATATTTCTGTAAGTTTTTCTAGGAAAAGATTGTAACGGGGAAGAAAGATCGATCGTTGAGCCGTGTTTGGATGTAATATACATCGCCCTTTTCCCGAGAAATTTACAGTGAACTTCTCTTTTTGCCCAAAAAGGGCGCATAAATACTGAGCGAGTGTCCCCTGGTCATCCCATAATACTCCTTAAATCTAACAAATTCAATGTGGCCGCCGTATCGGTAAAAAGGTCTATTCAGTCTATTCAGCCATAGTTGGTTACGGCTCCTTCAGGCATAAAACATTTGAATTTCAAATCACTATGACAGCCATGTAATAAGGTTTTATTTAATGTATGATGAAAAATCAGTTATGGAAAAGACAAAACAAAATTGAGACAAAATGTAAAAATTATGAAATAGTTTGATCACTATCATTGTGATCGCGACGCTTTTTACTTTATGAACAGGTAAGGTTAAAGGATGGAAATTCGTGTTGCAGTTAGGGTCACGTATGTAAATCAGTTAGTTGGCAGTATAAGCAAATCAGGCGTATCTTAATCCAACTAATTATGTTATTGATGTTTTCTCTGTTTAGTGATGATTTCAGTCGTATCCGACATCAACACAGGTTTAACAACGACAGTCCTGAATAGATGGCCGCTGCAACGTGGATTACGAGAGTAGCAAAACGAACAACGTTTTTCCGCCCAAAGGAAACTAAAAAATTACTCCACCTAGGGGCACTGCCTGATGCACTAAGAGAGTTCAGAGTAAGTTCAATTGAATTATTGTTGCTGTTGTTGTGTGTCTCAGTTTTTGGATGCTGATTACTCGTTAACTGTCGTCGCAGTTGTATTCAACAGTTTCTGAACAAGCACCTAAACATGAATTTCAAGAAAAGCCGAGATTTCCCGGCGCTGTGAATGCGCATTATACCGAGAAAATGGATTTTGTTGTTCCTGATGATGGTCAAATTATCCCAGTGTATCGAGTCATGGATCTTAATGGAAACGTCTTGAATGAATCACACGATCCTAAGGTACCATGATCAAATAATTATAAGATTAAGTGAACTTTGAACTGTAACTGTTATTTACTAGTGAAAATGTAATGTAAGAATTCAAAAACTTTTGACCCCTGTATCTGGAGACAAAAAGTCGGCTTTGAGGAAACTTACCCGATACGCAAGTACGTACCAGAAAAATGTGCGACTTTAAAAAGAAGTGCCACAATCTATAAGGCACGGTCATAATTTGTTGAAACACTTTTGAAAAACACAAAATGCACCATTAGAAGTCTTTGTGGGGTACACGTATTGCCGGCTTTCCTCATCTCCCTAATGTTTGTTTGAAGGGTTTTCTTGGGCATAAATGCTTTAGAAATCAACATTGTAGGCCAGAAAAGGCAGGGAGGGGAACAAAATGCGTTAGATTCAACGATTAAGACCAGGAACGAAGCCGCTTTCAGAGCCAGTTTAACTCGTAAAATGAAGGCACCATTTATTCATCCATTCTTGGATCACTGTTTCTCTGCATGATTGGTTTTGTTGCGCACGAAAAGAGAACGTTCTCATAGAATAAAACCTGATAGACTAGAGAAAGTTCATTATCAGTGTTTCTTAAGGCGATATGTTTGAGAGGCACAATTAATCGTGTTCTAATCGTGCTCGAGTCCCGCTTTACCTAAGTAAATGTCGAACAACGTTGTGAAGATCGTGGTCACGCGATAGTAGTATGCAGTTGGCATGGGTTTCCCTATTACCACGAATCCATCAACTTTATCTCGTTATGGATTATTATTGATTGGTATTATTCTTGTCTGTGTTTTTCCCTAGCTGAAGAAAGAAACCGTACAAGATATGTACAAAAAGATGATCCTTTTTAATACAATGGAGCGTATCCTATATGAGGCACAACGACAAGTATGTTTAATCCGAATCCATATTACATGGCCGCGCGAAGATATGAAATTTCTCTTCGAGTGCGAACGAGTGAAATATTATTTAAAACCCTAGAAGAGAAATTTCGTATCTCCAAGCGGCCATGTAATGTTTTATTTATTATATAAACACCAATTAATGCCAAACCATGTGAAAGGAGCGATTTATTATGTAGCCATAGCAACGGCGATCTTGTCAGGCGTGAAGAAATCGTCTTTTTTTGGGAAAGCTTGCCTGGTATTTCATGGGTGTTTATATAATTTATACTACTACATGAGAAATTTCTGCAATTTGATTGGCTTAGAGCAGTGGTATTTCAGCTTAATTTGAAATACCTACATGTGAAAATTACAAACCTTTTGCGGGTAGTAGTATAAACAAATAATAGCATGATTTGTACGTGATATTTTGCATAAATACCATTCGTGATATTTCAAAATTGTCTCAAATTTCACTCGCCCAACGGCTCGTGAAATTACGTATAACAATTTTGAAATATCACTCGTGGTATTTATGCCAAATATCACTACAAATCATGCTATTACCTATACAAATATATATATTGTAGGCGATTGGCTTCCTTTCAAAATATCAGAAACTAAAACATATAATTATTACAATTTTACCGACGCCCGGTTTGCTCGTTGGTAGAGTGCCGGTCTGCTAAATATGAGGCCGTGAGCTCGAACCCCAGCAGGAGCACCAAAAGGTCTTTAAAAAAATTAGTAATAACCAATGGTTAGAGAGTGCGGGCGACAACGATCGGAGGTCCAAAACGCTCTTGCTCGAGCGCTGTGCTTTGCGTAAGTTTGCAGGTGACAGATGATAAAACACGTGTGATCAGATTACGGTTGACAGAAGGTCCAAACGCGCCTGATCAAAGTGCGTTCTGTGTGTATTCCATTCATTCTTAGTTGGAGTCCAAACGAATAGATGGGACGCATGCGTAATAGCAACCTGGAGATTAGGATTGCGGGCTCCTCCTTTCTCCCGCAAAAACTGGTAAGACTATGCTAGCCGCCATTAAAACGCTTTTTTGAGGTCAGATGATAGTGTCATTGCCCGGTGGCGTGAAACCATTGGCCTTGTCTCCTTTAAATAACCATGCACATCAGCTTGACACTGTTCGGAAAGTGTAGGGGACCTAGGCCCCGATGTTATGGTCTATCCGACTTGTCCCTTCATCATCACTTGTCTGTGTGGGCGAGGTGCGGGCCCTGAGGGGATCAAACAGGAACCGGCTTAAGCGGATGCAGAATGCGTCTTTAAACACGCTGTCGTCCAATCTCACCTCTCCAGTTCCTATGCTATTCAGCCACTGGCTGGAAAGAGAGGACCACCGGCACCATTTGCGTTTCCATTTCATAGGGACGGATATCATTTTACATGACAAACTATGGTGAAGAAGGCACTCATTTTGGTAGCGCGGCTGCTCTGTTGCCTGAAGATGTAATATTCGCCCAGTACCGTGAGGCTGGTGTGCTGATGTCAAGAGGCTTCACAATAGACGAATACATGAGCCAGTGCTTTTCTAATCGGAATGATAATAGAAAAGGACGACAAATGCCTGTTCATTATGGTTCGAAAGATCTTAATTTTGTTACTATTTCATCCCCCCTTGCTACTCAGATGCCACAAGGTTAGTAAGTGTTAACTGTGTTATGTTAAGGTTACCTTTGAATTTCAAACATCAGATTGTAGATTACTAGTAACAACAGTATGATGCAAGTTAAGGTTAAGAGATACCTGAAATTAAATGAGATTAGTCTGTGTACAGCTGCCCCTTAAATGAGGTCCACGTTTACTTACGTAATCACCACGTGATTACATGTTTTGTGTCATAGGGCATGACAAAACTTGTAATACGAGCGCGAAATAAAGTAGAACCCCGATAACTCGAACTCGGGTAACTCGAACTCCCTACTAACTCGAGCTACGTCCAATTTCCCTTGGATTTCACCCTACTTTTCAGTCATATTTAATGGATAACTCGAATTCCCTTCTAGCTTGAACTAATTCATTTCCCTTGATTCACTGAAATTTACCCCGATAACTCGAATTCTGGTTCTTGTAACCCTACTCGGGTGCCATCCAATTAGCGCTTCTTTTTGCCAAATCAGTAAAAACACTTAAACTAACACTGGTCAACACTACATAAATTTGATTTTAATTGGTGCAATGAACAGATCACATTTTATCATTAAACAAGAATCGCCGAAAGGCGATTTTTAAATGGGCTGCAAAGAGGCTATTTTTTCTGAGGGGAGGGGGCGGCTTTACACACTCAGGCTACCATAAAACCTTGTCGGCAACCATTGCATGCTACAGAATCTCATGTGAGACTGAAACATAAACTCATTCAGAACATTGTACCCTTTTGAAAGACTTTCGTAACCAAAAAAAAAGAGTACCATTTTTAAGTGGGGGCTGTATAATAACTTTTAAATTCCACCATTATGAATAAAAATAAACAAGTTAGCCATTAATTCTAAACAGAAAGCAATTTGCATTATTTCCACGCACCCCTCCCCCAATCCCTCTGTGCCCCAAAATATAGTGTGACAGTATAACGTGACTAATTTGACGTAACCGGAAATTCCAAAAATTGCTGTCCATCTACGAGCATAAAATGCGACAGACTGAGCTGATTTACTCTAGACAGAAATATTGTGTTGTATGAAAACCAGAAGTATACTAAAACAGATAGTTAACTGCCCATTGATCCCGCCTGATCCAGGGGCCTCACTGACTGCACGGAGACTTTACTGCGCTTTTCACAAACATGCGAACTCTAAAGTTCAAAAGCCACCTTCACAATTGTGTTTATCGCCGCCTACCGTCAATCATAATTACGATCACAAGCAACGAACCTTGAAACAGAGAAACACACAAAACGGATCGAAATCCACAAATCACAAACCATGACCTTTTGAACCCGTGAAGTAAAGTTTTGTTTCCTAAGAGGTCCGTTAAGATGACTGACTGCAGCGAAAAACGCAATCGTCGGTTGGGTTCTGAACTTCAGAATTCGCCTGTTTGTGAAAAGTCCGATCGTAATTTGCGGTCCACAGTCTACATGAAAACGCACTATTTTTTCCACAAGATGAAAAGTATTCAGTTTTAAGATTTTCCTCATGGTATTTTTTTCTAACTTAAAGGAATAAAATCCTTTGCATTTTGAGACCTAAAAAAGTTTAAAGATTTCTCACTCCCATGTTGCGTTCACCAGCACGCACTTCAAACAATGTAAATAGATGAAACGATCGATAACATATTTTTTACCTGATACCAATGTGAGTTAAAAATTCGCTCCAGTTCTGTTTGTCTCACCCAAGACTAACTTTTCTTCATGGAAGATAACTATGCCGCTTTATAACTCGTCCGAAGTTTTTGTGCCAGCTAAACAATATGGAAACACTATTCACAGTGACTCCTTCGATATTAAAAAGACTGAACGTGACGCACTATTATGCCTTTGTTTACTTCTCATCACATCTTCAAGCGAAGTCTCTCTTTTCAAGCGATTCATCTCAATGCACAATAATTGACCCTTATATTAGTTAAAATCCTATGGTTCATTTATATTAATGCTGTTTTTGCCTCTCACATTGCCTGTGTTCGTTCGTATTCAAAACACCTTTACGAAAATAAAGGAGATAAATGGATTATAGGCTTTTTTAAGTTTCCATTTTGCGGTGACTTCAGTTTACATCTCCCATAAAATGGCAAAAGAAATATCAAGAAACATCACGAGAGCTGAAAATTTTCAAAGGCGTGTTTCTGAAACTCGCTAATGCTGACATCAATATAGCGCGCTTGCTGAATGGGCGAAAACACAGAATTGTGATCACAAGATCTTGTACAAATTTAATGACAAAAGCTTAGCAAGATACAGATACAAACAAAAGCAAACCCCGTGAAACCTCGACGTGGGCTACACTTGTATGCTCTACTAAGTCACCAAACCTTGTCAGTAATAGCTGCTATTTTCTTCAAGTCGCTCTCTGTGAAGCTCCCGGATTGGATGTCCCGGAGAAGCTTTAAACTTGTGTGCGAAATTCTCAGAGTTCCTATTTTTGTCCGTGTCTTCTTTATCCTCAGTATCCGAAATTTAGATCTCCAAAGTGGCGTGTGTTGCATTAAATAAAAGGAAATATTGAAAGGAAAAGCCAGTCTTCTAACATGGCAAAGTTGTCACGTCCCTCGCTTATGGACGTGCGTCACATCAGGATTCATCTGCCATTCATCGGCAACTGAGTTGTTCTCTTCACTGACTATGACGGCTTACAATCAAGTCTTCAGCCATAGTGTCGTCAACTGGTGAAATACTTTGCTCATAAATTGTGCTTCTTAATTGCTCACGTACTACATCGATCGATAGTTCACGAAGCAGCCACGGCGTTCCAAACCTGACGCTCACAGTCATCTTTTCAGTCTTTTAGTGTGAACCTACCGTGAACGGCGTGTCGGTTTGAATGCAACGCGAGCATTTCTCTGAGTTTCCCAGCGCCAACATCATCTAACTGACTTAAACTCGAACAATAAAAAATTATAGAGTTACTCCCATGGTCGAATCGCTTCGAACAACGCAAATAGCCTTCTTCAGGTTCGCAACGCCTTGTGGGTTTTTCAGGGGGAGCGCAGACAAGGTACAAAAAGTATCCGTGCAAGGCTCTGTGCAAGAGAAATTCATATGAAACCATTTGTGAGAACATCGTTTCTACGTACCAGACCCTCGTGTTTTCCCTCCCCTGGATGACCACTTTTTGACGCCGACGACCGAAAACCCATTTTATGACTGGGCTTGCCGGGCAGCCCAGTAAAAACTGCCCAATGCAATTGGGGCTTTAATTTATTCATTTTATTTCATCAGAAACGGTAACATAATTATTATGTTACCGTTTCTGATAAAATAAAGTGATTTTATTTACTTAACCCGTGAACTACTACTATGCACTATACTATACTATGCACTATTACGCACTAATCCCATTGTTTTCTTTTGTTTACTACTTGCTTTTTTGCACTACTTATTAGTATCTGTTTCATGGTTCAAGTAAAATCACTCTATATTAATTTACCATAGCCCACTTTTGTTATATTAGAATTTTGTCATGGCTCCGAGACTTTCTGGTCATTTTTCTATATTTGGTTTGGTTTTCTTTGTGCTCAAGTCTCTTCTGGGAATTGCGACACAATGGCGTCGTGGCAAAATTTGCAATTTCAACCCTAAAGCCTCGGAGTCATGACAAAATTCTAATATAACAAAAGTGGGCTATGGTAAATTTCCCAAATCTCCCCTATCGTCCCCGGCCTATGTTAGGTAATCCAAGACAAACTTGGATTCTGGATTCCACGAGCTATTGATTCCGGGTTCATTGTCATATGAACTTGGGTTCGTGATTGGATTCCTTAAAATGAATTGCAGATTCGAAAGCCCACGATTCCAGATTCCACATGCAAAAAAATTACTTTACATGCGGCAACCCTGACAATATCTTTCTGATTCGGCAACTGGATATGCCTATGCAATGAAAAGATCAGGCACTGGAAACTGTGTCATCTGTTACTTTGGTGAAGGAACTGCAAGCGAAGGAGATGCCCATGCAGCATTCAATTTTGCTTCAACTCTGGAAGCACCTGTTGTTTTCTTCTGGTAAACTTTTAACATAGCTGTAGTTAAAAAGGTTACACATAACTTGAGTTGTGAATTGAATTTTGGCTATCTTAACATGGACTATGCAGTTTTGTAGTCCGAGGCGTGTCACCGATAGGTTTCCTCAGTTGGTTGAGGAAGAGACGTTGAAAGAGACCGGGTTCGATTTTCGGTCGGAGAAACAGTCAGGGTCTTAACTGAAATTATTGATAAAGAATGTGTTGCCTGACCCCACGCGGGCGAAATGCGGATGGGTTAATATCCCAGTGTCGTTAGACAAGGACTAAAAACCGTAGGCTCCCTTTTAAATCACCCTCAGTGATTTAGCCTTTGTGGGACGTAAAATGACCCATTTTACTGTTCATAAAGAGTACAGGACGTAGACTACGGTGGTGACCAGCTTTTTATGAGAACATGGCAAGAAAATAAAATTGAGTTGAGTTGAGTCATTGATCTGCAACCATCAGATTTCATGCTTATTACAATCTGCGGCAAGCAGATTTCTCTATACCTAGGTATGAGACAGTCACCTATGGCAAGCACTCTATTAGATATTTAGGGCCTAGGCTATGGACAAAACTACCCAAGAGTATCAGGGACGTCACAACCCTAACGTCGTTTAAAAGCAAGATACGCCAACTCAATATAAGTGAACTTTTAGATGATGGCTGCGCAGGCTGTAGCCTTTGTTCATTTTGACTTCTGTGTATTTTTACTATAAATCTCTTAATTAGTTAACTATAGATATTTTACCTACTACTGTATATAGTTTTTAGTTTGTATATTCTCCCCTAATTGGTGTCCCCAAATTAGTAAGGGATTTGTTCCCTGGCTAGACGGTTTTTGACACTTTAATAAAGTTTCTATTCTATTCTATTCTATTCTATTCTATTCTCGCACTGTTCACAACCTCTTTGACAAACTGAATTTGCTTATTGGTTAGAATGTTGGAGTTAAATTTAAAATGGACTTATAGCTAAAGGCAATAATCAGTCTCACCTTTCAGTCCACGTTTAAACACTTTGGTCTTTTGTGTTTTATCTTTTTGATTGATTTGTCTTCACTGAGCAGCATTTCTCTCTGTATCAATAGTCGTAACAATGGCTATGCAATATCTACTCCTACGGATGAGCAATACAGAGGAGATGGAATAGGTTAGTGAACCTTACGCTAGAAGTACAAAAGTAAAAGGTCATTGTAGGCTTTTGGAACGATCGTGTTGTGGAAATTTGTGGGTGGAAATCTTAAGCCAGAATTTTAGGTGTCCGTCATCTTGGACTGGGGAATCTAATGACAAGTGTTCGTTTAATACAGGAATGTAACAATAGACATGACCACTGCATCCACTTTTTAGGAATCAGCGTCCGCTTAATAGAAGTGTCTCTTTATAGAGTAAATAAGGGAAATAAATGGATTGCTCAAAAGAGGGTGCCCGTTTAATACAGGTTTCACTTTGTTCACATTAACCTTTTACCTCCAAGAGTTGACAAAGTAAGCATTTCAGGAAACTTTTCAAATTTCATCTTGTATAATGACGGAAAAAATACTGTCATTTGAATGGTCACACCATAGGATTTCGTCCAAAGACTAAAAGTTGGAACCAAGACTCAATCATTCACTCTGGGAGTGAAAAGGAAAGAGTAATTTAAAAGATTGCGGCAACCATCCCATTCCAGTGTTTCATGAGCTATGAAGTAGCTTGCTAGCAAGCTCTTAGGGGCGCTCTGGCGGCGGGGCGGGAAAAAGAGGGAGACCTTGCAACTACGTCTCTGGAATTTAAATAGCTGTAGCCTACGTGTAGCGGCACCCTCCCCCCGACGAAGGAAAAACGGGAGAGGCGGAGGGTGCGGCTACACGTAGGCCAGAATAGCTGCAACGAAAAGGTCGATGCGAAATGCAGACTGGCGGAGATGACATAAGTCATGACATCATTACTAGGCATTTGCCGATTGTGCTAGTAAAATTGGCATATTATGCTAGTGGCAGTGCTCGTTTTTTGCCCAAATTATGCTCAAATTATGCTCGCTTTTCAAAATTATGCTACTTTTTTAAAAAATTATTCTGTGCACAAACTTCACAACTCACAAGACAAGTTTGAAAATGTATTTTATTAACCCTGGCCAGACGTTCTGGGCCCGGTTGTTCAAAACTTGGGTAACTTTATCCGGTGGTTGGGCCTATACGGCGAATAAATCTGCTATCCAGCGGATAGTTATCCAGCGAACAAAAGTAGGTTGCACAAAGCCTGGATAGTGTGGTGGATAACTACGTCTATCCCGGGCAAGTTGTGCAGGCTTTGGTCTATCCTCTCTGTTCTCGCAACCTTGTAAACTATCTGGATGTAAGTTCACTGCACTTGACTGGTTTGGCGTGGCGGCCGCCATTTTGAAACGAGCACTGGGAGAAAGACTAAGGAGTCTGGGACCGAGACACAGACTTCCGGTTCCGTTTCATCGAACTCCCGCGGTATCTCAACACAAGTAAAAAAAAATAGAAAAATAGGAGTGGAAGCAACTGTTAATAGTAATCTATCGTTTTTAGTAGCTGAGATCTTCGTTTTCTTGAATTATTCTAAAATTGTGCTATTAAGACAAGAAAATATACGGATTATGCTAGCAGTGCTACTTTTGGAAAAAGGGCAAAAAATTATGCTCAATTCCTCAGATTATGCCAAAAATTATGCTAGCACAATCGGCAAGAGCCTAATCATTACCCTTGGAAGGTGTTTTTCAATGTTTGTTTACATTCGCGCTCGTTTCCGCTTCGCGCTCAGTCGACGGGGGACTACAGGAGAATTGGAGGTAGAATTCAACTTCCAGAGACGTAGTTGAAAGGTCTCCTTCCTTTTCCTGCCCCGCCGCCAGAACGCCCCGGAGAGCTTGCTCGCAGGCTAGCGGTAAAGTGTATTAGTCTGCAGGATAAGCATATTGTATTCTTTATTTTAAGCTGGGCGTGGCAGGGGCTATGGCATGATGACAATTCGAGTGGATGGCAATGATGTCTTCGCAGTTTATAACGTCACCAAAGCAGCACGTGATGTTGCAGTAAATCAAGAAAGACCTGTTTTAATTGAAGCCATGACTTACAGGTAAGATAAAGAAGTCGTTAAATTACTCCGATTACAGGGTGGTCATTACCATCTCTTCCAAATGGCTTTTCTATATGCTGTTGGAAACTGTCAGAGGCAGGAATGAATCTTTTGAAAGTCTTAAGAATAATTGTTTTAAGAGAAAATTCTGTGAATCAAAGGATAAAGCAAATTGCGAAGTTTACTATTTAGTGTATTCCTTCGGAATGATTCGGAACAAGATCGGTGATCTGAGGTCACTGGGATCATGGTGTATTAAAGGCTCCGATGGATCCACTCTGGGCGGGGATTCATCGCTTCCTTTCATCCGGCGATGCTCTCGGATCACTAATGATGATGTAGATCTCCCTAAAGGAACACACCCTTTAAGGGCATGTGGTTCTGTAGTGTACCTTAGGTGCCAATTGATACCTCAGGTGCGGTGGTTAGAACAACAAAATGGCTTGTGTTTTGTGGTTTAATAACGTCGTTAAACTTCCTAACAACCGAGAGAGGCCTTGCTTTTCCGTGGTTTATTAATATTTACTCTATAAAAAATGTTGTATGTGAGACAGAAGTTTCAATGGCGCGAAGTATATACGCCAATAGCTAAAACGTATAATTCAGATGTAGCTAGTACAACATAAACAGTCAAAAATGTCTCCATCTCTCCCAACTAACTTTATTCCAGTTCTATATCGTTTTTAGTCATATAAATACAATGACGGCAAGCCGGAGCTGATTTATAAGATTAATAAACTTGAAAATTTGTCAATGACTTGTGCGGAATTTAAAATCAGAAGCAACTGACTCGCCCTACTTATATAACGAGTAGAAAAGAACGGGAATTACCACTCTGCACTATACTTCTAATGTCGGCTTTTAAAAGCAGGAGTAATCCGTTCGTGCTGTACCACTTAGGTTGAATTTAAAATCGGGAGTAAATGGTTCGCACTGTGCTACATATGTCGACCGAAAAACAGAAGGGAGTAACGGCCGACTCATGTCGGCTTTTAAAAGCAGGAGTAATCGGTTCGTGCTATACTACTTATGATGAATTTAAAATCAGGAGTGAATGTCGTTTCGACATATGTCGACTTGAGACTCGCGAATTACTCTTCTTGCCGGCTTTTAAAAGCAGGAGTCATCGGCTCACGCTATACTACGTATGTTAAATTTAAAATTGCTAGTAAACGGTTCGCTCTCTAATTACATATATCGACTAAGAAAACAAGGGCAGTAACCGCCGACTAGCGCTACACTAATGTCAGGATATAAAACAGGAGTAATATTTTCCCTCGATACTACTTTGTCGCCTTCTAAATCAAAATTACTCAAAATCTCTTCTCCAGGATTGGAGATCACAGCACTATGGCGAGTGATGATAAAGCAATGCACCGCTCATCAAAGGAAGTCGATTACTGGCAAAAAGAGCTTAATCCGATCGTGAGGCTTAGGTAAGTAAAAAAAAAAAGGTTATCAAAGTTCCCAGGGACAAAACTGTATTGTGTACTTTCTTAGTTTTCTAACCAATGGGTTACACACAACATCGAGGGCTGAAGAGTTTTTGGTCATTCTCGATCATGAAAGATCATGCATCGTGTGTCATTGATGGGCACGCAAACCTAACAATTTAAGAAGCGGTCATTTCTCAAAGTCCCAGAAATCTTATTTATTGCATTAACTTAATATACGTTGTAACTGACCCTAAATAAGAGGGGTTCGCTCTTGCTAAAAATTGTCTTCGCCTTGCAAGCCACAGTTTGTTCTTACAAAAAGGGCCCCCGGGCTACTCTTTGTGATCAGCAATTCTTTATTATTGAAGGGGTCACCGGTCTTGGGGGGGGGGTTACCATTTTCAACTTCCCAGAATGATCACTGTTTCAAATAGTCTTCCCCCTCTGTAAAATGGTATCTTGGTCAAGAGGTACCACACCAGTTCACCAAATACACTTTGGATATCTTAATGGACAGTAATTGTTTTCGTTTGACTCAAGTAGAGGTAGAAAACGTTTTGAGTTTCATTCGTCTTTTGACTGATCCTTTCTCTTATCATCGTCGTTTCTGCTTGAGTTTACTTTAACGCCGCTAAATCATGGTGTATTAAGCTATCAGCCCGCCATTTCCAAAGAGTACTGGCTTGATAAAGCATTGACAGGATATATCTATCAGGATTTCTCGGGTCTATAACAAATGACAAAGCTCGAATATTATTTCATTTACTACTAGACAATACATGAAGAACAAAAAGTGGTGGAACAATGAAGTGGAAGAGGAGTGGAAGCGAGATTCTCTTCAACAAGTCATGCAAGCACTCTCAAGAGCTGATAAAGCATTGAAACCGCCTGTGAAAGACATGTTTACTGATGTGTATGACCAGCTACCCCCTCGCTTGCAAAAACAACATCAGGAATGCATGGACCATATCGCAAAATACCCACATGAATATCCCACTGAGCTATATCTGCAAGATGACTAGATTACCATAGGCCATTTAGGAGACCGGGAAGCGAATTTGAGAGATTGCAAGGGGGATAACCCGAACGCGTAACAGTTCGTACATTAGCATATAGTCCAGGGGTAAACTTCCACAGTAAAATTTGAAATTCAAGTGCTCTAGAATGGAAATGCATCTGAAACTAAGTATCCTTTAATTAATAATATGGATACCCAAAATTTTTAGTTAATATAAATTATTGCTGCTTTAGTACCTTCGATTAGAAATTAAAAGGTAAACAGCTAAAATTGATCTGTTTTCAAACTATTTACAATGGAATAAATCATACTGAACGATGTCCATGGTTTTAAAATAGCTGCACCTATCATATAAGGCGCTTTCCAACTGTCCAAAACTCCTAGTTTTCTGGACAGTTTCAGTGTTCCATTTTGTCCTTGTGGAAGACCTTCTGCCAGTTTCTTGTTGATTTTTTCATTCTTTGATCTTAAAATCATAGCTCTCGAATTGTTTCATGTATTTACAGGATTTATCAGCATTGGAAGCATTGAAAAATATGTAAATGAAGTTATTTTTATGTAACAAAACATGAATGGGACCATTTCAAATAAAACGGATGAAATAAATTGGTCTCCACCATGAAAAAGAAATCCTTCTCCTCCCTCCCCAGCCGTCGCTGTAGTCCCTGCATTTCTGAGCCTAAAACACCCTCACTTCCAGATTGAGGCCAAATTCAATTCCTTTCATACAAAAATAAGTTTCCTTTTATTTTAATTTGCTCTGAATGTTATTGTTGCAATCCAAAGCGTCAAGCATACAGGACCAACTAGGGTAAAATTAATTAACAAGAAATCGAATGACCTAAAAAGTAAATTGGAGTTATTTCCTGTGAATCTTCAAAATCTTGAAATAGAATGCACAAAGTAAAATCATAGATGTTAAATGCGTGCGTCTTTACTTGCAAACATAAGCTCGTTATCTTTGCGCTCTTGTCTTAATGATACAGAGCTGTCCGCAGGCTTCGTCAAAGATGGTAGACTGGCATTTAACAGGTCACGTGCAATGTAGAATGGGATGGGTACCAGACTAATGAGCGGGGTTCTTTTTTTCAACCTTACCCTCGTAAATTCAAAAAGAGGCTTTGGGCAGCTCTGGAATGGTCCAATGAAACTTGACCAACTGTCTGACCGTGTTGATTCGCGTGGAATGATCAGGTTCACTTGGAACGGAGGTCATGCCACAAGACTTGATCACAATCAACATTTTACGAGGACAAAGTTAAAATGAGTCTCGAGATATCAGGAGATATCCCTTTCACAACTTAACATCTTGCTTACTTGTCTTTTATAAGGTTTATTGGGGTCGGAAAAATTTAACTACGTTCCTACTAGGCCCCTTGCTTTTTCGACCTGTTGTTATATGTTATTCCTTCAATCTATAGAGAATACTTCATGGAAAGTGCTGGCGTACGGTATTTACGCACGAGTTGTTGACGTATCAGAAATCGAACGAGTGAGCGCAGCGAACGAGTAAGACTTCTGATACAAAAACAACGAGTGCGTAAATACCGTACAAAGCACTTCCCGTGTGGTATTGTGTTTATTATATACATACTGAGACATTCATCATTTTGGCGGCCTTTTTATTTTAAATCTTTCAAAAATGCTAAAATTTGCCGCTACACACTGACCGCAAAATGACAAGTATCAGCTTTTTAGTAAAAACGTTTGTTAAAAACATAAATGACGGTGAGGATATGAGGTAATCCAAGAACTACAAGTAATCTTAGCTGTTTGTTCTCAATGCACAATTGAAAATGAGTGAATTTAAGTAAAATGGCCGGTTTCGGCTGTTGTTTCGCCGGCTGTCTACCGTTTTCTTTATTGACAGCGAAACAAACGAAACTATTCCACTCCATTTCCGAAATGTTTTTCACTTTTTTAGCGAGAAAAACTCTTTGAGTAAGGCCTGGTTCAGACGCCGAACTTTTCATGTGCCGAACCTAACTGAATAAGTTCGACTTTGGAGCGACAATGGCGCGACATCTGATTCAGACGGCGTACCGTGTGTCGAACCTAAGTTAAGTTCGATAGACTCTGTCGAACTTAACGCTCTTGCCGCACCAAACTAAAACTGCCGTACCAACTTGATTCAGACGCCGCTCTTTTGCCGTACTTAATACCTCAGTTAGGTTCGGCACATGAGTGGAGCGGCGTCTGAACCGGGCCTAAAACTTTTCTCGTTGAATGTGTGCGAAGCGGCGATGTAAGCTGCAATAAAAGGCGGGAATTTTGGCGCCAAACTCACACACCTCTGTGGCTTCTGATTGGACGTATCATTTTTCTCACACGTGAAAAAACATCGTTCGCGATTCTGATTGGACGTATCATTTTTTTCACGTGCGAAAACTTTCGTTCGCTCCTTTGATTGGCTAGAACTAATTTGCGTACGAAAATTTACGACATAGCTTTTTGCTGAGTATTTCTCAGTATGTATAATATATAGATTTAGCCAGGGCTAAAAGCGAAGCTCCCATTAATAAATTTATGATTTAAATCAAACAATAAACTTGAAGGGAACTTAAAGGGAACCTCCACTTCAACAAAAAGATAACTTTAAATCACAGGAAATAACTGTTACAGTCAGGTCAATCTAAAATATTTTTAAAGAAAGCGTTTGTATCCGAAAGAAATAACTTTTAGATTCGCCTATTTTTGTTTTCAAATTTTGCGGGCGTCGCCATATTGAATAATTGTGAAGTGTTACGGCTGCCCTATTGTTATTAAACAAAAGCTCTTTGTGTCAGAACAATAGAGCAACCGTAACACGTCACAATTATTCAAGATGGCGGCGCCCACGAAATTTGAAAGTGAAAATAAGCGATTTTAAAATTCACTTTTCCTTCTATAAACACTTTTTTTAGGGACAAATTTCGAACAAATTTGTTTATCAACATAATTTTATTCGATTTAAACTTATTCTGTAGTAAGAGTGGAGGTTCCCTTTAAGGGCACATATGTGACTTTTTAGGGAAAGCTAAGGCCAAGTGACCTTAGAGTGAAAAAAAATCTTTCATCGAATTGATAGGCGGTATATATACACCCAAAAAATAGCAATCATCGTCGATCACAATTTAAGAGCCATAATAGCTCTTGATCACAGTAGATTAGGCCTGGAAAACGAATTCATGGAAAAAAACAAATCAGGCCGAATTTTTTGCGTTCGACAAGTCTACTTAAAAAAATCTTGCCAACAACTCTGGGATCGTGTAAACCAACATTTCATACTTTTTATGCATCACATCTGATGTGAAACAGTAACATGAGGCGCTGTTTTTATCATACAGACCTCAGACAAAATGCAGTATTTCACAATTTTTCAAGACAAATTGCACTCATTCAATATTCAGAGCCGTACGAAGCACGCGTGGGCTTTTAGCAAAACCGTTCAAAAAATTTTCAAAATCACCTATACGGCCAGCCAGTTGTCACTTTTGACAAGCGCCAAATTTTCAGTGAGCATTAAAAGAGTTACGCTTCAACATAATAAAGAATTTATTGTTTATTTTTTTTATTTAATGGTTTTATAACGATGTGCAAACGCGAGGCATTTTGAGTACTGTACAGTACGGCAAATGATCCCCAAAATGGACTTTTCGTGGAGGCATAGCTAAGGAATTGTTTTAACCGGCCAAGGTAGTTGGGAACTACCTTGGCCGGTTAAAACAATTCCTTAGTGACTTCGTTTAGCACGGGTTGTTTCTTTAATGGAGCCCGCTATGCCTCCACGAAAAGTGAACCTGCGCTTACCTTTTCTTTTCCGGACTTCTTTCCGGCGAGGAAAGGATTTCGATTACTTCGTTATGACCGTTCCCCTCAGTTTTTACAGCACTGTTGAAATAAAACAAAACCGCGTAAATTTGTGGGCAGATATCAGCTTTTGCTTACGCAACTCAGTAAACAGTCAAATTTCTGTTTGTACGAAGGAAATGTTACCTGGCAAAAGGACACGTTTCCTCGGTTCTCATAAAAACCGGCTGATATAGCTCTTCACTATTGTCATCTTCAGACTGTGATTCATCTTCTATGGTGATCGTCTCGGCTTTCCCTTCATTCATGGTCGTACTTGAAAAAACTGTCCACGCTCTCTCGCTGACTTCCACAGCGCACGTGGTTTCGAGTCGTAAAACAATACTTTGTACTTTGGTCTTTGGCATTCCGTTAGTCACGTGCCGACCTGTTCAAGTATTAGGCTGATTTAACAAGAGGACGGGGACCAAATAAACAATAAAAATAATACAAATCAAATTAAAATAATTAAAACGAAATAAAATAATAAAAGTTGTAGCTTTCAGACTATTTTTAAGGTGGAAGCTACCTATATTTAGTACATTTATTTCATTTTCATTATTTTTATTTGATTTGTATTATTTTTTGTTATTTGTTTTTTTTAAAATTTTATCATTTGCGCTTTTTTCAAGGTTCCGGGTAGGTTCCGGGGGGTTCCGGTTGGTTCCGGGCGGTTCCGGGGGTTCCGGGCGGTTCCGGGCAGGTTCCGCCATTTACATACACCCCATTACCACGTTTAGATTCCTGATAACTGTCTCCAGCAAAGGCAAAACAAATGAATATACATAAAAGCGTCAATATAACTATTCGCAACATGTTCATGAGTTGTAAGAAAGTTGCTATTTGGAAATTAACAGAAACCTGTGGACATTGATAAGTTCGGGGGCATTTTGACTTGTGTTTGTGTTAAATCATGTCTTGTTTCGTAACGGTCACCTAAGTTACGAACAAATGTCTTGCTGTTTTTCACGTAAAATTAACACTTCAGAGAAAAATCAAATTTAAATATTCTGAAAATTAATTTCACGCTTTCAAAAAGATCAGTAAAGTCAATAAAGCTCTTGTTATGTAGAGGGTGCCCGGCTTTGTATTCCTCAGCTTCTAGGCGTTAAAATAATAGAGTCTTTTCTGCGTAACGTCCTGCCTGTCTTAAATTTTTCAGCGACGAAACATTCT